TAATCGAATTAATTATTTTATCTTTTTTACTACAGACAAAACACGCAATTCAGGCTTGTTTCTGTTTCACTGATATTAAGCAAGTATACAATTTCTATGCAGTAATGGAACAAGCAAAATTCTAATATAAAATTAAAATAATTATATAATGTACTTCTCAATTTATTAATTATGAGTAATTATTTAAAATGTATTACTATTAAGAAGCCATTTATTGAAAATCTAATAATTATACTTGTTACACATAATTGCTTATTCAGACAACAGTACTTAGAATAATTATTTCTTATTAAAACTGCGTTATATTACTTCGTTCACTATTTTTTTATATTCTCAATATTTTATATTAGAGTAACTGTCGTCAAATATGATTTTTATTTAATTCAAAAAACCATTACAATATGTATGTAAAAGAAACTTTTAAAATAATCATTTTTGATTTTCTATCGTTTTATTGACTACTTTTTGATACACATACAATTACATTAGTATAAGGACACAAAATATTTACCTAGCCGACCACGATTTACTAACTATTGAACATAAACTGATGTGAATAACCTTGTATTTCATTTTAATATTAAAATACATCCATAAATAAAATTGTATACTACTGCTATAAAAAAAAAAAAACCCTATAATTTTTAAAAAAGAAATGAATTAATTTATTTATTAATTTCGATTTTATTTTCATATGTTTTATTAATATTATTATAGTATATTTATACAATTGTTATAATAATAGATTATTTGAAATGATCCTTATACTATATCTCTCACTTTTTTCGAGTATAGTTAATTGATTATTTTGGGTGTAATAATAAAATTTATAATTTTCTATTAAGATTCATTAAATAGAAAAAATAAACGCCCATAATTTGAGTAACTAATGACTGGTGTATTTATAAAAAGTTACTAAACACGCTACGCACTCATATAAATTCTGGACTGTCTATAAAATTAAGTTTTACCGTACTATTTTTAAACTAATAATAACTTCACTATAATATTAGAATTTTCAATAATTTTTTTTATAAATTCAGGTTTCAATTTACATTTCTGAATAAATGTTGCCATTAAGTACTTTTTTCTAATATAATAATGTTTTATTGCCTAGAGTACATCATCAAAATTACTATTCAAGGTAAATGCTTATTCTTTGTAATGCCCTTCACCTAAACTAGAAATTACCCATATATATTTTTTATGGTACCTATGTAAGTCATAAGAAACGGGAACGGAATAAGTATGATTCACGGTCATATTTAATAGACAATATTTTTTTAAATATAAATTTGTGTAAATTTTTGCGTACCTACAACACATAAAACGTGATTGAATCATTGATTTTTTTTACAAGTTTTGTTGATTAAGATCATAATTTGCTTTTAATGTACTATGAAATGAATTTCAAAAGCAGTGAATTAACTAGTAAATATCAAGTTAAAAACACATTTTGACTCTATATTTTTTGACTGCAAAAATAATGTCTTTTATATATTTTTTCAATTTTATTTGAATTCTCCATTTCATTAACTAATTAATAGTAGTTTAAGTAATTAACAGTAGAGTTAATAGTAATTTCAGAATAAAAATATAGTTTAAGATCATTCAAAACTAACATCGCTTTTAAATTATCATATTACCAGGTAAAATACAAAGAATGATTTGACGTTTTTGAAAAATAATTAGTTGAGCGTTTAACTACTGTATAGTAAATAGTAATTTACAAAACATGAATATGGTATGATCAATAATACTTTTGTGTAGCTAATTTATGAAAATTAAAAAAACCAATCGTATGTCAACCGGGAAAACCACAATAAATATAAATCAAATGTGAACTAATAAAAATAATATGTTTTTATAACAAATTGAATTGTAAAATAAACATGGAATTTAATCTAATAGTAATTAAAATCATTAGACTTTTTTTAATCTCCTTATATAATTGTATGTTTATAAGGATTTTAGAGAAACGGTTTCTTTCTGTTGGGAAATTCAGATTTGTTTGCAAATTAATTACTTTTACTTGGTAAAATATCAAGTTTAATTATTCATTACGATCTAACATTTTTTTTTTTATCAAACTAAAAGTATTACCAAATATGTATTTAATGATAATTTTATTTTATATGGTTATATTTTAAATAAATTATTGGATAAATGAATATCTTTAAGATTATTCTGAATAATAAAACTAAATTTTTTTAATTAGAAATTTAGGACTATTTACTTGAATATTTGATCATATCGATAAGTTAGAATACTCAAGTGTTATAACCATTATTTTTCATTATTTTTTTACATATAGCTACTAAAAAATGATCAAAAATATAATTTCAATAATAGCATTAATATCAAAAGATTTAAAAAAATTGGATACAACACGTGTGTTTTTTAGATATCAGTTGGTTTTTTAAACCAAGTAAATTAAACAGAGGTACTTAATTATAGAATGTAACCACAATTATACATTTAATAGAAATTTCAAGAATTTTTTTAAATATAGTTTTATAATATTTTAATAATAATATATAAATTATATTACATACATAATACGTATTAATACCTACTTATAAAGGGTATAATTATTGCTTATTATTAATTTCATTTAAATACTTAATATTTTTAACGTAGATTTAAATGAAACGTATACTAAATTTAATCTTCTTTAGCCCACGTGATATCTTTAGCGTAGGACGAATTATTTTTAAATGTAATAATATAACGACAAAGGTTTACCGTTATAATTTGTGAATGCCCCTTGATTAGAAATAAGCACACGCAGTAAATAAACTTAATATGAATTTAATATCGTATTCCTAGAATTCCTTTATTATATGAATAAAAGTCAGCGATTTCTATAAAAATTGCGGAAATTAATTTATAGTTTATATAGGACAAATTTCAGAGTAAAATGCTGTTGTGAAATAATAATAATTATTTAAAAAAATTATTGTATCTGATTATTTCAGTTATAAAAACTGTTATTATAAAAAATCCTTGAAGGTCTTTTTATGAAACCGTGTGATAGAAATACCAAATAAAAAATATTAGAAAATAGATAAATAAACGATTATAAGTACCCTTTAGCTAGTTCTAATATTCGTTAATTTATTAAAATAATTGTTCATAAAATAATGTTATAATAAATATGGTTTGATAAAATCATATTAATCGTATAATCACTTACATAAAAAAACCAAAATGTATGTTTTACAATATGAATATAAAATATTAAGGGTATCTTTAAAGTTTACAAATATAACTTTTTATCTAAATGCTTAATGTGCATATAATTAAATGTTAAAAAAAATGAATCATCAAATAAAAATAAAACTCATTTTACAATTAATTTTAAATTTGCAATTAATTTATATTTGTATAGAGTGAACCGCTAAAATTGTATTACCATAACACTATTTGAGGTCACTTGACTATTTGATTGATTGAAGCTTTATAGAAATTAATGAACTATTGTATAATAAAATTAATATTTGTTTAAAAATTATTTTATATCTATTATTTAAAAGTCAATTTAGAATAAAACTATTCTCAAATAGCTAATTATTTTTAATAAAAATGAATTTTCAAGATAAAATATTTAAATTTGATTTTTAAATTTTAAAGTTGCCACAAAAAAAGAGAAAATGAGACATGAGTATTACAATAATAAACATTCAGCTCATCACTCATCATCATGCAATTGAGTAGATACGGAAAGACCATTTTTCTTATCTGATATCCACCATTAAATCAATAAATTAAATATTAGATACTGAATGTTTAAAGTAGAAAAACACATACTTTTAACATTCGATATTGATGTTCAGCTAATCTGAATTTCTATTTCTATGAATAACAGGAAACATTTTTTTGCTGAACTACCCTATGCTTTAAGATGTTCTTATAANAACAGGAAACATTTTTTTGCTGAACTACCCTATGCTTTAAAGATGTTCTTATAAAATAAAATGACGAAATTTTATAATCGAATAATATAAGTTGTAATATAGTTAAAAATGAAAAAATTAAATACGGAAAATACATAAATGTTTTCATCAGAATATAGTATAACATTTCTGATTTTTTTTTTGAATCTCAATAGCCAGATAATTGTATGTTGTGAGGGATGAAAACCAATTATTTTTGAGATAATTTAAATTAAATAATTGATTAAATAATATTTAATCAATTATTCAGGTAAAATATAATACATTACAATTTACCTATTTTAATTTAGAAATTTTAACCATACTTGAACTATTCAATTCTTATTCGTTATAAACTAACTAGTTATCACAACTCTACTAAAAATATTTAAACATTCAAAAATTGTTTGGAAAAATTGAAAAGTATTTTATTTGTCTAAATAATTGATTTAGTTTATAGTGAATGAACTACTTGTATATTCGAAATATTAGATATTAATACAAAAAAAATAAATTCAAGTGTTTGCACTTATTATCCTTATCACTCATTATTAAATGATAAATTAGATATAATATAGATTTGTCATTAATTTAAGTAGTCTAGCAATATCTTATAATTATAATGAAAAAATTAATTCAATGTTGTATAATTGTGATTATCAAAGTTATGACAAAACTATATCATTAATTAAATATTAAATTGTTAGTTTTTGATTATTTGAAATTGCTCTTTTCTGTTACATTTAAATTCGAATTTTTGAGTTTTTTACATTTATACATTTTTTTAGTACTAATTTATTGTTTCAATTCGATCAAATGATCAATCAATGAATTATGATTCATATTTTTTGCTAATTTTGTTCTTAAATCAAGTTCAATTTAACGTTAATCTCTAATATTTAAGTTAAAATAAGATAGATTAATAATGATTAAATGTATTTCCATTGTCCACGAAAGCGTTTATTATATTTGAGCTATATATTTGAGAGAAATTAACATTATAATTATTTTCACTATCTTAGTTTATTTGAATTTAAAAAAATTAATTACTAATAAAGTACTTACCGATGCCCACCATGACCCATCCATGCTAATTGTTTGAATTATCCTCAAGTTTAGACGAATAACTTGTGTAGTAAAAAAATGCTTTACAAAACTGCTGTACCAATAGGAGAAAATTCGCTTCGTTATCCTTTAAAGGTATTGCAGCCGTCACCTGTTACACTCACCGTTACAATTTCTATTGTAAAAAAACTTAAACAACCACAATAAATGAAGAACTCTTTGTAATAAAATGGGTATCGAATGAATCGAAATCATACAGGCGATTAAATATATTTAATAAAAAAAACAGTTAAAAACATCATCGAAGTAAAAAAATCTTTTACTAATTGAATTATATTTTAAATTATCAACAATGGAATTAGTGGACTACCCCTACATTTAAATAACAAAACATCTATGTTGGAGTGTATGTGTTTGAACGTGTATCTGACTGATTAGAAATAAGCTGGGGGCACGTGACTCATGTAGTTTATATTTATGAATGCTACCGTCTAGCGCTCCAGGTGAGCGATAGTAATATACGAGAGTCAGTGCGGCAGATTGCATTGCCATAATTTTTAGACATGGTAGTAGCTGTCGTCTGCGATTTATTTTATCATTCATGCGTCCGAGTTCAAAATGAATGTAAATATCTAATAGAAATTAAATAATAAATATTATGTTTTACATTTTTACTATCTTCGAAATCTGTCTTTTAGTAATATAATTACTATTATTAATCTGTTTATCTCTCTTTACGTTATCGATGAAAAGCTATGATTGTGTTAGAGAGAACGAAAAATCTTATATAGGCCAACGCAACGGAATTTGACATTATCCTGACTGAACTAATTTGGTCGCCTTTAAAATATATAAAATTAATAATAAAAAATAGTTTTCTCAATTTATGTTTACATCTGATCGATAAATACAATATATTTATTTTAACTTTAATTATACAAAACTTAATAAATAGATTATTAGATTTGGGACGAATTAGGTATTCAGGTATATTCCATACTTGTCTATCAATGAACACTATGATGTATTCAAATATTAAAAAGAACTAAAATACTCTTTTTCTCTAATAACAAAATAAGTAAATAGTCCGTATCACTTTAAAGTTTGTGAAAATTTGAATTTTCATGTTATTTTACGGTATTAAACATTGAAATACGTGTAGAGACAAGGACAGAAGAAAAGTAAGATAAGTTGTTTAATCTCTAAAGAGATAAAACTACTTATTAAATAACATGTATTGTTCGTGTTATTATTTGAACTGAAGTCATTAGATGTTAATAATTTTCATGGAAAAATCCATAATCATATCATAAAAGTGTAAAAAGATTGTGTTTACTTTTGTCTTTATTTATATAACATAGTCACTGTTTGACACTGTAGAATAGATACNAGATTGTGTTTACTTTTGTCTTTATTTATATAACATAGTCACCGTTTGACACTGTAGAATAGATACAGGAAAATAAAAATTTTTACGAAATTAAAAATGTTACAGAATATTAACTATCAAACATTAACGAGAATTTTTTCATCAGATTATTTTTTTAAATCTACTTAAAAAAATGGCTATTTTTAAATTTTTTTAAACAATTTTCGTAAATATTAAAAAAAAATTTTTTTTTCATTTTAATTATAAAAATAATATTAATTTAATTATTATTATAGTCCTCAAGTATATTAATTATTAAAAAAAAATTAACTGGATTAAAAGTTATTTAAGTTGTCAGTGAATGCTGGGCTACTCTGTATACCCTTAGTGAGCTTATCACCTAGTGACGTTATCATTGAGAAATATTATCACATTTTTCCAGCTTATACAAGTTTAATTATGAATTTTTCAGTGGGCCAAGATCTCAATTGATTAAGTAGTTCTTATTCTTACACATTTCTATTGCCTTCCTTATATTAAGTTTTTTGTAATTATTTTTTTTCTATGATTTTAATGAAATAGTTATGCATTAATAAATTATGATCGGCATAGTTTTACCCTTAATGTAAATTTTTTATTACCGCAAAAGTTCTTTTTCTTTTTTAAATATTTTTTACACAATTAATGTTTTATTTAAATTATATGATTTTTCGTTTGTCGAAAATTACATTTTTATGGCATATGTAGCATCATTAAATACGTGTCTAGATTTCTTTCTTATAAAAATGATTGAAGAGATACAATTTTATTGCATTATATAATTAATAAAAAACATACAAGCATGGCTGATACATTAAAAATAATTTTTTTTAACAAAAGGATTTTAATTCTTAGTTGCATATTCAGGGTTCATAAAATATTTTATAAAATGGTTAAATTGTTGTTTTATTTTTAACTTCTCTATTGTCTTTTAATAGTTCTTTATTATTTTCAGTACTATGATTGATACTGTAGCAAAAATATGTTATTAAACCTGAAAACAAAGAATTAAACATATATAATATTATTGTTTTTTATGTAGTTATTCAAAAGTTGATAAATATTGCGCACAGTTAAATTAGATATAGTAAACTTACCAAATATAAGCCAAAATATGAAACGTACCCACGTTTTGTAATCCAATATCATCATGAAATATGTATTCCATACTATGCTCAGACATGGAATTAATGGAACTAATGGAGTCTATAGTAATATAATTGAATAAAGGTTATTTTTAATATTATTAGGATAATAAATAATTATAATTGAGATAATTATCATAACTGAGCTCCAATTTAATTTTTACAAAAAGTTTTTTTTTTTTTCAAAATATTTCTTTGTGTTTACTAATGTTTATTTGGTATATTGGTTTGTTATAAATTTTTAAAAATAAAAATAACATAAACAAATTACGTAATTATTTTTTATTATACTGATGTAATGGAACATTAAAGTGTGTTAGATTCATTTTAAGGCTCTAATACTAAAAAAAAAAAACGAATTCCTGAAAAGATATTTTTGAGTTCAGAAAAAAGTATATAAAAATTATTATTAGGGCATAAAAATTTAATATACTTAAACAGGAAGTATTAAAAAAATTAATTAAGAATATACTTAAAACTTTTAATAGATTTGAGAGGACTGCACTGACTATTAATTATTTTAGTAAAAAATAAAAATGTAAATATAAACTTTTGAAGTAAAAATGACCAATTGAAATAGTTTTTGCTCGAAAAAGAAACAAATAGAATTTAATTTTTCTTACTTGAAGTTTCTCAGTTTATTATAATACTAAATTTAGCAAACCTTAAAAGAAAGATCTTCTTTTACTTTTGGAAGCGCACTCAACATCATTAATGTAATAACTAAAATTAAAGCTGATATCGTACACAATCCATAAGTAATATTTTCATTTGAAGAATTTTCGAACTTTGATAAACTAAAACCAAATACCAATGAACTAAAACCTGTTAAAATTTACACGTGTATATTTATTCAAAGAAATTATGTTAAAATATGTCATTCAAATAAATAAATAAACTCTCTTAATTTAATATAATCAATCATCAATTATTTATTAAATAATAATTTCTTGCAATAATTGTTAAAAAAATAATTTCATAGAACTTATTAAAAAAAGTATGACCTTACCCTCTTTTAAATAACTAAAGATAATTTTTTATTTTGTATATTTATTATGTCTTAGAAATAATAGAGTCGTATTTAATAGAGGATAAAATGTCGGCCTTTGTTTTGATAAGGAAATAAAAAACCAAATTTTAGAAGTAAATGATTTTTTTCAAAGGTGTTTTAATAAAATAAAAGTTATAAAGACATAAAAACTTTGTTACCCATGGGAAAATTTTCAATAAATCTTGGGAATAATTTATCTCTTGTTCTCTCTTTAAAGCATCATTATTAATTAAAGTATTTTAATTTTACAATTATGCATTTCAAAAAAATTAAAAATTATTAATACACTTAAAAAAAATGTCCTTACAAAATATCGCAATAAGAATTCGTGATACATATTGGGTATCGGAATTTGTTGTTTTTAAATAAGATAGATGAAACAACTTTGAAGTAATATTTTTCTTCGTTCTAAAGATATAATTTTCATTTGATAAAGTATCATCATTGTAACTAAAACAGATGAAAAAAATTACGACATTGTGTCATTTTTATATAAATTTTCATTTAATATAATTTTAAATATCACCTACTGCAGAATTAAAATGCTTATGCAGACAATTGTATACGCTTGTAAAGTACCTATAGAAGCCATATCAATGAGTTGGTCAAGATTGAATATAGTAGCCAATGTACCTGTTAAAAGATGTTTTACATAATTCGAAGTAACAATAATTTTATAAACGTAATACAACCTGAAAAAACTCCACTGATAATTGTTGCTATTATTGGAGTCTTTGTAGTAGGGTTAACTTTTGAAAGAAAATTAAACAATAAGCCATCTTTAGACATTGCGTATAATATACGAGGTAATGGGAACATCGCACTCAGCAAACTAAAATATAAATAATATGTTCGATTAAATTTATTGTAGTATAATTAATATCCATACCTTGCACTTAAAGCAAACAGTGCACCTCCACTGACTAAATATTTAATTAATTGCATGTTTAATAAATCATAAAGATGAGGGAGTGGTGCCTTTGAATCCTAATTTTAGTTTTTGTTTAGTATAAGTCGTAAATCATATATTATGCATGTACTAGTTAAGTAATTTATATTTTTATTACTTGTGAATAGTAGGGTAGCATGAGAGTTAAAACTGTAGCAACTCCACAATAAGCGACCGAAACAATAAAAAGTGAAGTCATAATTGCTAACGGAATAGTCTTCTTAGGATTTTTTGTTTCTTCACCTAGGTTTTTTTTAGTATGATGGTATTAAAAATAGAATAGAATGTTTTCATATTTTTGATATAGATAAATGTAACTATTTTCTTGGATATTATAAATGATGTATATGATATTCGTTACCAGTTGTTGCAATTGAATCAAATCCAATAAAAGCATAAAAACATTTTGCAGATCCTGCTGCTACACCAGTCCATCCAAATGGTAAGAACCCTCCATTTCCACCATTTATTGTTTCTGGTATTGAATTTTTTGGAATAGACCAATAAGAAAAATTAACTGCAATTAAACAATAATTTAGAAAATTTATTCATAATAAACAAAAATAAACGTAGAAAAATATTACCTTGAAAAAATCCTGATACAATTACTAAAATAACTGTTAGTATATTTATTGTTGTAAATATACTATTTAGAATAGTTGATTCTTGTACGCCCCATGCTAGAAGAGCTAAAAATTATTTTATCAAAGAAAATCAATAAAAGTAAATAAAAAATTAATTCAGGGTGGTTTAATGCTTTATTTTTCACAAGCACTCAAAGCTTAATATAGAATAATTAAATTAAAAAAAAATCTAAATTAATTAAATAATATGAATAATTAAATAACACGTAATAATTTGTACTGTATTATTTCAATGATGTAATTATGATAAATTATTTCAATGATGCTAATTAATGTTAAATAATAATCTTTTTTTCTATCAAATAATCTAAAAACCCAATTTCTGATGTGTAATAATTTTAAAGAAATCAAATATTGTCACGCTATTTGTTTAATTTTTTAATGTTTCATATTAAGAAAAAAAAATTATTTATTTAAAAAATTAATTATGATAAATATTTTTATTATGAAATTGAATTTTAATTTACTCACATGTCACTAAAATAACTGCTATAAACGAAGCTATGTCGGGGTAATTTGCTAAAAAACTAACATGAATTGGAAAATACTCAGTCATAATTTGCTCTTGCGGATAGCCCAAAAGTGAGTCTACATAATTACACATAGCTTTAGCAACGGCTGCTGTTCCTATCGAGGCATAAGAATAAAATTTAACGAAAAATGAATCAAATTATTCTTAAAATTACCTATAATATATTCAATTATAAGATTCCAACCAATGATAAAAGCTGGAAATTCGCCAACTGTCACATAGCTATAAATATAAGCTGATCCTGCTTGTGGTACTCGACCAGCGAATTCAGCATAACATAGTCCTATGAAAGAAAGTATCTAAAATTAGTTTTGTCTAGTAGTTAATATTCATTCGGCAATGCCATTTAAATTTTCTATTGGAGGACATATCAATTTTTGAAATTATAAAAAAAAATCATTTAATCAATGTTTTACATATTGTTCACGTTATGTTGTGTAAGTAGTATCTTTTCTCACACATTATACAGAAAAGACAAAGACAAACACTGAATTATAATATCTTCAGGTAATGTTACTCACATCTATGTTTTACTTATAAATATTACTTACCAGAAAAAGCAGAAACCACTGCTGCTACCATGAAAGATAACACTACGGCGGGTCCAGCAATAGATTTTGCTACTGCACCTGCTAATACGTATACACCACATCCTAAAGTAGCACCGACACCAATTGCAGTCAAGTCAAAAAGGTTTAAAATTCGTTTCAAGTTGTCTTTATCGTTATTTTCTGATATAGTTTTTGTTCTTGTTAATACTCCCCACTGAAACTTATATTTCTGCGACAACAAACATTTTATTTTTATTATTCAATATTTGTAAAAAATACTTACCGATTTCTTAACAGACATACTCATATTGATTCAATGAACAAAAAAGAAAAAGGTAAATTTTTGTAACTATTATTTTACCTTTAAAACAAAAATATGTACATGTCATATATTATTTTTGTAATTTTAAAAATTATTTTCTTATCGTTGTCTATTATAATTGCATTGTTGTTTTTCAATAAATATCGTACTGAAGTTAATAATGTCTTTTATTTTGCCTAAAATTATATTATACTTGCAAATCGAATAGCGATGATAAAAAATAATTAATAAAAATAAAAAAAGTAGTCGTTATTGAGTTTTCATATGAAGACTATATTATTTCTGTACTTAAATATGCTTAAATTATTAATTTATAAGGTATAAATTAAATATACAATGTTAAGATATTAAAGATTTATTTACTTAAAAAATGAACTTACATTATGAAATCATTACTGATTAGCACTAATATATCCAATTTTCATTTTCTTTTAAAAAAATGAATAAAATTATAATTTATTCCATTAATTTTTATTTTTTTAAAGGCGTTAGATGCTTATATATAAGCTAATCAAAAAAATTATACTGATTGTAAGGTTAAGCATACCACGCTTCATTTTATCTTTACTTGAGTACCTATTATTGATTATTCAAGGTACAAAAATGTATGGTACCTATACATTTAAGTATTTATTTATATACTATATAATCTTTTGTTTTTTAAATACTACTAACATACTTAAAAATGCACTCAATATTTTAATATTTATACTGCTGTTCTTTTCTAAAAGTTCAATCATTTTTCATGGCTATGTTCATATTATTTAAAACCACTGAAATGTAATATCGTATGTTAACTATCATTGGAGTCGTTTCTAATTAATTCATTTCAAATAAAACTTTTTACTACACGTTTTGTCATATATAATAAAAAAGTTAATTTGATATTAATGTAACATTCATACAAAATAATGACATTTATGATTTTTAAATGATAATATATCATTATTTTATATATTTTTTAAATATATAATAGAATTTTTAATATTTAATCAACAAAGTTAAATATAATNAGCAATCAACAGCCTGTAAACATTTTATAAAATATATGTGATTTTGGTTGCTGAATTAAATTACCTAATTTGTAATGTGTAAAACGTAAAGATTGGGCTTTGATTTTTCATGTAATTAAAAAAAATTTTAAATAAAATATGTGACAAAATATTAGTAAACTGAAAGCGACATCTAATTAAATCATTCTTGTTATATCATTTTATATCTTTTCATAGATAATAATTGTGAATTATATGTGCAAGATAAAGTATGTAAGTACCAAAGATTATGAATAATTTTGTACACATTAAATGTGAACAATATCATAAATTGTATGTTATTGTTCACAGTGGCGGCTCGTGTGTGCTGGTGGTCGGGATACTACTCTAAATATAATACCTTTAGTCATAGGTATAAAAAATTGTCAAATTAAATATATTAAAATAGAACACAATACACACATTATTATTTTAAAGGACAAATGTTTTATAACTATTTTATTATTTAAAAATTTGCATTTTTAATAAAAATGTAGAATTAAGAATAATACAATTAATTTTCTTCTTTTAATTAATTTTAGTAGGGGGTGCGATCGTCCCGTCGTCCAAGCCACGAGCCGCCACTGTTCATCTTCAATTTATATACATTTTATATATATTTAAAAAATAAATTTTGTTCTAAAATGTCGGTAAAATAATTTTTTTATAAACTCCTTTCATGCTTAAATTATAAAAATTATTTTAATTTTATAATGATTAAAATTTCAAAATTCAAATACATATTTTTAAGTGTTTAATTATTAAAATCGAGTTTTTAAAAATCACTTCAATACTTTAACACATATTTTGACTTCCTTCTGTCTTCTTGCACACTTGCATCGAAGCGTTTTATGATAGTGATTTTAATCAATGTATAATAGAAATTATTAATAGATTTAGCTATACTTGGTCTTCATTAAGTCGGTTACTGACTGAGATGAGTTTTTCGAATTTTTATATATTACCAAAGTATTGAGAGGAAGCGTAATCATAATATCAAGAAATTTGACTTCTTTAAACCTAATTAAAATTTAAATGAATACAATATATTTTTAAAAGAAAAATGGAAAAATTTTCGAAATCTCAAAATTTAGGAGTTATTCAAGCCAATATTAAAAATACAATATTTTTGGCAAAAATGGCTAATTCTGTATAATTTTTTCAAATTAATGAATTATTAGCATTAGTCTAAATTATTTCAAATTATAACAAGTTTAATTTAATAAGTGATTAAAAACTGAATAACCTTCCGGTAATTTTTATTCTATAAGCAATTGACTTCAATAGTTAAGTAAATTTTTGTAAGTATAATTATTTTTTTAATTTATTTCAAATACGTATTGAAGCGTTTTACTATAATTATTTGAAATACTGTCAGATAATAAATAATAATATTATAAAAAAATATTTAACTGTACTACGCCGAACCTCGAAGGCAGTTAACTTTTTTAATTGACAATTCAATATTCCTATCTTTCTTTGAGCAATATAAACATTAAAATTATTAAAAAAAGTCCATGAAATGTTTATTAAAGAAATAATTTGTCTGCTCTAGTATGTCCAGGACTTTCTCGCGGTTATGCCTAAAAAAGTTCAATGGGAAGACGAAGTACACCCCTTCGTTTTCATTCATAAAAAGTTAAAAAATCATACCAATGGAACAAATCTAACTGATTTAACTTCAATAACTTTTAATATATCTAAGTGTTTGTTGTATTTTTTTTCAAACTGTTTTGTATTGTTAGACTACTTTAAAAAGTTTTTTTTATTATATGCTTTTAATAAAAATCTTTTAAAAAAATATTGCTTTTATTTGTTCAAAAAAATGTTTTAGGATAGCCAATTTTTAGAGCTCGATAGGTACAGCTTGTACTGATATAAGGTGGCTCTCAAAATTTGAAAGCCATTTTATTTTTTTTAAACTATATCTTAATTTTTCTTTAATATTCATAAAATAAGCTGTACAAAATTTGGGACCGATCCTTTAAGATTAACCTATACAGGCCTCTTAAATTGAATTGATAAGATTTGTTTCTTCTTAATTTGAAATTAATACATTTGAAAACTACAGAAGACTCCTATTTAATGTCATAAATAATATTGTTAACTGTTTGATTTTATTCACAACAGATTTCCAAATAATAATTTACATGATACTTTTGATTCTTATTTTTTTAAACAAATGTATTCATTATCATATAATGAATAAATATAGAAAACCACCTACATATACAGGATGATTCATTATGGATAAGACACTCATTTTCTCGGTAACTATTGAATATTGTATATAAAATAATGTTTCATTCAAAAAACTCTACAATAATATGTAGTAAAATCATAATTTTTTTCATCCCTTCAAGGTAAAAAAACATCAACTTGATTTTTCTTAAATGAGTACCCTTATTTTGAATTTGTTATTATGATTTAAAATAAAAATACATATAACTTTGCTCTTATAATTGTTTTTTTCTCATCAACCGTTCGTCTGTCATATCTTGTTTAAGTTAAATATAAAAAATAATAGAAATTTATTCCAAAATCATTTAACTTTAACAAGCTGTAACAGATGAACGGTTGATCGGAAAAAAAAAATTATAAGAGCAAAGTTGTATATATTTTTATTTTAAATCATAATAACAAATTCAAAATAAGGGTTCTCATTTAAGAAAAATTAAGTTGATGTTTTTTTACCTTGAGGGATGAAAAAAATTATGTTTTTACTGCACATTATTGTAGAGTTTTTTTAAATCAAACAATATTTTCCTTACCAAAAATTAAAAATGTTCAATAGTTACCGAGAAAATGAGTGTCTTATCCTTAATGAATCACTCTGTATAAAAACTGTGTAAATAAATTTAAATAAAGCTGTAAAAACATTTCACAAACAAATTTTTCTTTTTAAAAATGTGTCTTATTTTTCACTTCTTTATTTTAACTAACTTAGTTGCATTCGACGAGAATACATTAAATTTAATCAATTAAGTAACTGTTCAATATTTAATTGTGTATTTACATTTAAAAAAATGTATCTCAAGTATGTAATTTGTTTTATTTACTTATATATTTATTTTTTTAAGACGTTTTCAAAAGGTCTAAGTCTTCAACAAGTTGATATATTAAATAATTTGATAAAAAGTAAAATATGGTACCAGAACTATCAAAATACTGAAAAACCTTCATATATTATTGATATTAAAAATGAAGAAAGTCATCAAAAGTATGATACAATAATGGTATTGAATAGTAATTCAATAGATTATAACTGTGAAATCTCTGTTTTTCAAACTAAAGTGCGACAGTACCATTTATTACTAAGCAGTTTCTATGCTGATAATCTAATAGACTTCATAAATTTAACCAAATATTTTTGGAATTTATGTATGGATGATGTAAGTAATAAAAATATATTTATGACAACATTTACTGGAGCTAATACTTATTTAATAAGAATGTTAAATACGTTAAATTATTTTTCTGAAATTTTAAATCCTGATGCATCATCATCAGAAGATAATTTATTGAAAAATCCGGTACACAATGCAATAATGAGTCTCAAAGGAATAGTAAAATGTCAAAGTCATGACAATGATTGTATCAATAGTCAGCTTAATCAAGCGCTCAAAGATACAATGAACTTTTTTAAGGTTCATAATCCAAATGATACAAAATATTGTGTTTCATATTTAAAACAACTTTACGATTCTTCTTATGATAATAATAGTAAATTATTGTCTGATAAAATCAATCTTATAAAGTATTTATTTGAATTAAAAGTTCAACAAAATGAAATGTTCATTGAGCAGTTTTGTTTTTGATTCAAAGAAGATGAGTCTGTAGCGTTTTATCAACTTAACCAGGAAGTCCAATAGAAAATAAAAATAAAACACAATGCTCTGAATTTTAAAATTAAACTAAGATAAAAACATTTTTAATTAAACTGTCTTGTTAAAAAATTTACGTAATAAATATATATTTAGAAATCATTACATTTTTCGATAAAATGTAATTTAATTATTAAATAATAATAAACAAAATTTGTCTATAAACTTTAACAAAATTTAATGTTATTAAAGTAATTACCAATTATTTTATAATTATAATTATAATACTTATATTATATAATACTATTATACTTTATAATTATTATCATTATAAACATTTTTTTTAAGTGAAAATTATAATAGTGAACAATGAAATTTATTTTAATTTTGTTATTACTGTTTATTCTTTTAATTAAAAATTGTAATTGGTTTTAATTTTATTAATTTACATTGACCATTACCTAATAAAATCACTTAATATTACAGCTTAACATTGTTTAGATACAATTATTTAGGTTTGTTGTGTGATAAAATTAATGACTTTTGTGTCTGCATTTGGTTCTTAGATTTTACAGAAATGTCTTGGAAGTTGATTTTGCTTTCTTGCGTTTACGTATCATCTGTTTTCTGTGAATATGCGTGTTTGACTGTTAAAGATGTATAACAACATTGGCATATTGGTTTATATTCCATTTTCATTAAATATGAGTGAATTTCATATGACTAAGTTTAAATCGATTAATTATAATTTCATTATTCCTATTACGATTATTATAATTTTGCCACTTTTTAAGATTATTTTTCATTTCATTAATTTTGTGTAAGAAAGCTACCTATTTTGCCATAAATTGTATATATTTTCATGTATTATTCTTTTTATATCCCGAATCTAGTAAATCAGTTATTTCTGTTTGGTGGTTATTGTTTGTTAGCTGCTTTGTCTGTCAATTCGTTGGTCTGTCAGGTATCCATATTAAAGTTACTTTTATTTCCTTTCTTTTTCAGCCTAGCTATTTTATTTTGAATGGTTTTGGCTGTATCAATTTTACACAAAAGTAGTGTATTTTTGAATAAGCCAACTCCAGAGGTCAATTTTTTTCTTCAAAAATGTTGAATAAAAAAGAATTTTAGGTAATACCTTTATTTAATAAATAAAGGTGATCGGATTATCAGATCCTACTTGATTATTTGCAAAATAAATACAATATTTGAAAAATAGTTTGTGATTTCTTTTAGTTTCTAGTTACTCAATTTATCAGTAATAAAATATTTCTTATCCTTAATATCTTATAAGGATATCAAGCTTATATTTTCAAAAGGCAATATACAAAATTAACTAATTTATTTATTATATAGGGTGTTCAGTAATTAAGGACACGAGTTTCTACTGTTCTCATTGTTTGTGAGAATTAATCTATTTTCTTAGAAGCGGAAGAACTCCTTAAACAAGGACACAAGATATGTAAAAGTACCTTGCAGAGAGAAAAGAGTAAATTTATGAATAAATTATTAAGTAGTACCGAACAGGATTATTTGATGATTAGGATGCCAATATTTTTTATGGATATTAAGAAGTATAGAAAATGTATTTCTATATTGAAGCCATTATGAATGTAGATGGAAGGATATTGATAGATCCTGGTGAAAAAGTAGCTAGGTGAATAAAATACTTTAAGAATCAACTTAATGGGGAAGTACCTGAGAACCTAAAATCTAGATGGAGTTAATCAGGAGATAGGCGAAATAACTATAAATGAAACCAAAATAGCAATCAACAGCCTGTAAAATTAGATGACACCTGGTACCTATGGTATTCAGCCAAACCACTGAAATATGGAGACGAGACACTATATAAAAATTACTCATGAATTGTGCTTGACTATATGGAAGAAAAATAAACTTCCGGAGGATTGGAACAAAGCTATTATTATAGCATTAAATAAAAAAGAAAACAAATAAGCGTGTAAGAACTACAGATGAATCGCCCTTTTGAATACAGCGTATAAGATGTTTGCTAGGGTGTTATTGAACAAACCATTGCAAAAGAGTAAGTATGAAATATTAGGAAAGAAATATGAATTTCGACAAAATTTAATGAAAGTATTTATTGATTTGAAAAAGACATACAATAATATATATATTAGAGCAGCTATGTTATGGCTGAATTTTGGTTTCCAGTAAAATTAACCATTAACAAAAGTGTATTTGAAAGGTACAAAGTACCAGATATTGGTTGAACAATTCACATCCGAAGAATTTAGAATAAGAAGTTATTATACGCCTAGAAGTTATTCTCGCCTAGCTATTTATTGTAAAAGTTAAAAGAGATTATAAAAAGTGTTAATGAGGTGATAATAGATATGGGCTAAGGGTTGGTATATGAAAGCCAGATTAGCTAGGGTTGTCGATCATCTAAACTTAATTCGAGACAGCAAAAAAACTATAATTTCATCTTTAAATTTTATTATGATTTATTGACTTTTATTAAAATTAAATTTAAGAATAGTAATGATAATTTATAGACGGTTGATAACGTTAACATTGATAAATGACAAATATATAGTAAGTTAAGCACACAACAAATTTAATTAATGTAAATGTATAATACCCTTTTGAGGACACTTAATTAGAGCACCTAATTTACAATTTCTTTGTTTTTAGGTTCGAGTGCAGAATTTGGTTTAATTTAATTTGTGGTCTTATAAACATTTTAATAAAGCCAAATTATGATAATCACTTAAATTTCACTAATAATAGCTTATGTCTATGACAAAATAATAACAATGTATTTAGTAGGCTTATGATGAAATAATAAATATTAATTATTACTAAAAACTTATCTTACTACTATAAAACATTTTTTAAAAATTATAAATGTCTACTTGTGCAAAGTATTTTTTTAGCTTCGATGCCAAGCTGAGAAGGTATGGTTTTACTATGATGTGTTTTTTTTTTGTCTGTTACCACTTTTTCTCAGCTCTCATTAAACCGATTTCTTTCAATGGTACGTCAAAAGATCACAAATCATATCTAATTGAAGAAATTACCCTCAAAATTTGAAAAAATTTTCATCGTTCCCCGTAAATGGGGAAACCTCCAAAAAAATTACAAATTTAAAAATCGCTAATTTTCAGAATTTTTAAAATTTTTTTTACTTAAAATTGAACAAATCAATATAATTCTTTTTTATAGATGCATAATGTTTTTACCTTTCATTGGGTATATTTTTTTTATAAATCTGACCCTTTATCTGCCCACAGGGAAGATTCAAAATGACAAATTTTTCACAAAAAATTGACTTTTTCAACTTAAATTTTGAAAGTGTTCCGGAAAGTCTGACACTTTTATATATACCTTAAATTAAAGCTAATGTAATGTACTTTATTATGGAAAAAAAAAAAAAATTTCGGTATTTATTTTGTCTTCACGCTAAAAATGGCTATCGAATGCTATTTTTGTGTTAAAATTCTCGATTTTATTTTTTACATTTTTAACTTTATAATGCTATAACTTATTGAAAAGTGTATGGATCAAAACAATGTTTTATAAGAAATAATATTTATATCCCTTTTTAATTCGATATACTCTATCTTAATCAGGATATTAATAAGGATCTAGCAGTTTATGAAGCTTTTGGAATAATCCACTAATTTTTTAAAATTAAACACTATCTAAAGATTTGCATCGAAGCGTTTTTTTTTATAGTGATTTTAATCACTGTCAGATATCATTATACTTGATCCAACTATGCCACGTCACCACTGTGCTACGACCCCCCTGTGATGGGGTTTTTTATTATTGTTTTTTATATAAAATAATTATAAGGCACACAATTGTTTTAAAGAAACGTTGTTAACAAAAGACGAACTCACCCACATAGGAATGAAATATTTCTAAAATATTCCTAGAATATTTTGAAATATTCTCACAATGTTTTCTGAATATACTTTGGCAGCGAATATTACATTCTTACAATATTTTAAAGGTATATTTCTAAAATATTATAAAAAAAATATTGTAACAATATTTTGTAAGATGTTTTATGAATATATTAAAAAAATGCAAAAAATAAGACCACTATGCAGATTTAAACCTCGTACTTCAAGGGCTAGAGACTTACCAATTGACCCTTCAGATTGCTACTAATATAAGAGGATAAAATAGTCTATTTAATGTAGTTCAAAAAGTTTTTTGTCTGTTAAGTCATTTTTCCCGTATAAAAAAATTCAAAATAAATGCAACTTAATATTCAATTTATATTGGATTCATATAATTTTTTTGAAAATCGTCGATTTCATCACCACGATCTCTCCTTGTAAGTTAGAAATTTACCTATATTGTTGGTAATATAAAAATATATTATAACTATAATTAAAAAACTTTTTTAAGATTTTAAGTTTCACAGGGCTATAATACGATATCATCGCGCTGATAAAACTAAAAAAATTGGCCTGCAAAATATAGCAACAAGGGTTTTTTTTACTGTACCTGACTTACCTAGCTTAATTGAATTAGGTTAATTAAAATTGATACTAATTAAAGAAAACGTCTGTTTACTTATTAAGGATTTAGGAATATGTATATATAATACATAAGTATTATATAACTAGATACCAATAACATCCAAGGGTGTAACTAAAGGGAGGCAAGAGGATGGCTTGTCTCTCTTAAGTTTCCACAGTTGGCCAACAAGATATATATTTATAATATTTAAACAATTATATTGATAATATATTCAACAAATATTTCGAGTTAAATAATCTATATTTATTCTAATTAATATATTTTCATAATATTTATAAGCAAATATTTAAAAAGATATTTTTTAAGCACATTGTAGAAATATTTTTAGTGTAATATTCGGTAACCACCCGTCCCGGAGTATCTATGGTTAAAATATCTCTTCTTTTGGGGAAGCCACTAAGGCCCTTAATAGGCTTATAAAACATTAAAAAAAAAAAAATATATATATATATAACAACCACCAGTAACCACACTAATGATATACTATGTACCTAACATGCCTGATGTTCGTGAGTATTGAAATATTATATTTATAGGTCTTATATAGTGGAATAAAAGGTGCAGACAAACTTAATATAAATATATATTGTAAAATAAAACTTATAAAAAATAAAATAAATTCATGAATCACAAGACACAGGATGCACTGTCCGAATTTATTGGCTAATCAATAGAATATATATATATATATAGGATCATCACAATAGCATTTAACACGTGTGTATATTTAATTAATGAACTTTTTCTGCTGCATAGTTCAAAATAACTAGTAATTTGACACTAATTCATTTCTATTTTTTTCAGCTATCGTTTTCTTACCTTCCAAACTGTTTTTCATTCCATAAAAAAAATATATTAGTAGTCCTAAAACATAAATAAATCCAATAAAATGTTTTTAAGAACTTAAATAAACGGCTATTAATTATATACCCTGTAATCACAAATAAAAAATTAGGTATTAGTGAATCTCATTTTTTATAAAAAATTATATAAAATATTTTTACGAGTAAAGTTTACAAATAATATATAAATGTTCACACTGTAAACATTATTCAGATGTTCTATATACATATATTAAATATCATTGATAAAGAATACTCACCACATGTTAACCATACTGAGAATCGTATCCAAGTTTTGTAATCTAATAATATCATCAAATATACATTAAATAGTATACTTAAACATGGCACAAGAGGCACTAATGGCACCTATGGTAAAATAAAAATTGCTTATTAGATTAAAAATGATCGTACATAAGTTTAAAGATATAACCTTAAAGGGGAGATTTTCTTTCGCTTGTGGAAGCCTTGACATTAACAAAATTGACATAATAATTATACCTAGAGCACAATAGAATAGAATAATGAATAATACTCGTTCACTAAAGTTAATGACTTCTAAACTAGCTAGGCTGATACCAAAAACTATCGATGCAAAACCTGAAAAAATGTTATATTAATAAAATCGCCCTAAAAGATTTTAGGACAGTAACTAAAAAATTTAGGAGGAATGAAGAAAGTTATCTATCATTAGGTTTTATGAATAAAAATGATAATACTCAGTGCGTTATATGCAGAAAAGTTTTACCAAATAGCTTTATGGCTCGAGCTAAAATCGTCGTGGCACAGTGGTGACGTGGCATAGTTGGATCATTTATAATGATATCTGACAGTGATTAAAATCACTATAAAAAAAAACGCTTTGATGCAAATCTTTAGATACTGTTTAATTTTAAAAAAATTGTGGATTATTCCAAAAGCTACATGATCTGCTATTTCCTTATTAATATCCTGATTAAGATAGAGTATATCGAATTAAAAAGAGATATAAATATTATTTCTTATAAAACATTGTTTTGATCCATACACTTTTCAATATGTTATAGCATTATAAAGTTAAAAATGTAAAAAATAAAATCGAGAATTTTAACACAAAAATAGCATTCGATAGCCATTTTTACCGTGAAGACAAAATAAATACCGAAATTTTTTTTTTTTCCATAATAAAGTACATTACATTAGCTTTAATTTAAGGTTTATATAAAAGTGTCAGACCTTCCGGAACATTTTCAAAAGTTAAGTTGAAAAAGTTAATTTTTTGTGAAAAAGTTGTCATTTTTAATCTTCCCTGTGGGCGGATAAAGGGTCAGATTTATAAAAAAAATATACCCAATGAAAGGTAAAAATATTATGCATCTATAAAAAAGAATTATATTGATTTGTTCAATTTTAAGTAAACAAATTTTAAAAATTCCGAAAATTAGCGATTTTTAAATTTTATGAGAGCTGAGAAAAAGTGGTAACAGATAAAAAAAAAAACACATCATAGTAAAACCATACCTTCTCAGCTTCGCATCGAACCTAAAATGTAGAATTCTTTATTCGAAAACTATAAAAACAATAAACTTTATGGTTTAAACCACAAAAATCGTAAATGATAAAGCGCAACCAAGGCATCTTTTTTAGTCAGCTCTCAGATATCTCAACGCGGTGAAACTTACTCAATTGCTGAATGTCTTATAAAACCTTATACTATAGAGATGGTAAAATGTATGTTAGATGAAAAATTGGCAAAAGAATTATATAATATTCCATTGTCGAATGACACGGTAGCTAAGCGTATCATTGATTTAGCAGCCAATATGCAGAATGATCTTATTTGTCGTCTCAAATTGTGCAAATTTGCCTTACAAATGGACAAGTTTAACGATGTTGCTGGCCTTGCAATATTAATTGTCATCGTTAGTTATCAGCACGAAAACATATTTTTAGAGGATCTTCTATTATGCAAATCTCTACCAACACGTACTACTGGAGTTGAAATATTGGGTCTTGTAAATTCTTTTCTCAAAAAAAATAAAACACAATGGAGAAACTGCGTTGATATCTGTACTAATGGAGCAAAAGCTATGACTGGTATAATTAATGGAGCTGTACAGTTTATTAAAATATTGCCAAAACTGTTCTAGTAGCCACTGTATGATAAATAGGCAGACACTTGTAGCAAAAAAGTTACCTATAATTTTTAGAAAGCTCTTGATGAGGTCGTAAAAATAAATAATTTCAAAAAATTTTGAACTCTTTAAAATTGTTTATTCTAAATCTACGTGAGAACATGGGAAGTGTACATACTTTTCTTCTCTTACATACTGAGGTCAGGTGGTTATCTCGAGGAAAGACACCATCTCGTATTTTTAAATTAAGAGACGAGGTGCATGCCTTTTTTTTGGAACACAATTTCGAATTAAAAAATTGATTTCTTGATCTAATTTGGCTACTTAAAATCGTCTATTTAGACGACATTTTTACAAAGATCAATGAGCTTAATTTCACACTTCAGGGTAGATAAGTAAATAATTGTACTGCTCACAAAAAAAATCATGCTTTTCAAAAAATTGGATTTTTTAAAAATTTGTATGAGCTCTAAAAAGTTTGATTGTTTTCCAACAACTAAAAGTTTTTCAGAAGAGGAAGAGTTTGAAATAAATCAATTTTCACTGATAAATCCGAATTTTATGCTTTTTTAAAGTTTATTTTAATCAAAAGTTCATATGGTATTTCATGGAATCGGGCGTCCTAGAATTGGTTCAATCCAATTTTATAAATGCACAAAGTCTCGAATACTACATATTATTTAAATCCGGAAAATTTTTCCCATACCCCCTATGAATTTTAGTTACTATAAAAATATGTATATAGCTATAAAAAATTACATACTAAAAGTCATGATTAATATCCTGGATAAATATTGAGTACTTGAATTAGGCAATTTTTGCTTCGAGAAAACAACCCACATATTAGAGGATTTTAGATTTTTTTTTTCTTCAGTCATTTCACATGGTAAACAATTATCTTGATAGCTGAAATAAAATTATAATGAATAAAAATATAGAATAATATTACAAATAACTAACCGTAGTATCAGAATACAAATACAAACTATTGTATAAGCTTGAAAAGTTCCAATAGATACCATATCAATTAATTGCTCCAAATTAAATATAGCTGCTACACTACCTGTAATATATATTAAATAGTATATATAGTTAATTATAGTTTCAAATTTACTGAACAAAAAATATTAACCGGAAAAAAGCCCGCATAGTAATGTAGAGATCACCGGAGTTTTAGTTGTTGAATTAACTTTTGATAAAATTGAATATAGAAGACCGTCGCTAGACATTGAATATAATATTCGCGGTAGCGGAAAAAGACTTCCTAATAAACTGAAAATAAAAGTTTCAAATATATTCCATGAATTGATTTATAAAGCAGGTCAATGAATATGCAGTGAAATAAATATTTTTAATATCTAGGTTGAGTAACAAATATCCAATAAATTTTGATTCAATTATCATCATTTTTCTAAAATTTTATTTTTTAATTATTATTATCTTCTTAGACTACATTCAAAACAAATTGTTTCTCACTAATAAAAAAAAAATTATATATTTTTTGTTAAATATTGAAATAGCCATTTTTAGATTTTTTCTTACAACAAATATCTATGGGTAGATAATAATTTTAGGACATGTTACTCATGAAGTTATAAGTATTTTAATACATGAAGTAATATGGATATGAAATGTGAGCGAAGTAGGGGAATGTGAGGGAAGACAGGGATGTTAACATTTGCAAATCCATAATTATTTTAAATTCTTATTATTTTTTTAAATACATTCTTAATTTTATGGATACAATATTTAACTCATACCAATAGTAGAGTTATAAATATTTATTTCATTACTAAATTTAAGTGTGATTAAAATTAATAAAATTTAAAAATGTCATTTGTCCATAATTGGTTACATAATATAAAACATATTTAAATAAAATATGAAAATATAAATATTTATATAATCCATAATTTTTATTTAAATTAATGTATTTTTTAAATTTAGTTTGTGATTTTTTTTAGTTTCTAGCTACTCAATTTATTAGCTATAAAATATTTCTTATTATCATCCCTAATAATTATAATTATAAGGATATCAACTTAAAATTTTTAAAAGGAAACATACAAAATTAACTAGCTTATTTATTAGATAATGTTGTAATTAATAAAAGGACTGTTCAACAACTTTTGGGCCAGTATTTTGTAAGTTATAAATAACTTAAAAACATTACTGAAGGTAAAGCGCAGGCGCAACTATTTTTATCACTAGTCATTTCTAAGCCTTACTCATTTCGCCGCCTCGATATAAAAATCTTAATAATTTCTGAAATATTGATGCACAAGTTATTATCGGACAGTCTTTTTATTAATTACTTCATTATAGAGTGTTCAGTAAGTAAAAAAATGGGTTTCTATTGTTTTCATTATTTATAACAATCGACCTGTTTCCTTTGTTATCATTTTTGTATTAGTTTTCTTTGTATAATGGCAGCGGAAAAATAATTTGTTTGTTTCTTTGAATTTGAATTTCTTTGAATAAAATTTGTTCCTTGAACAAAAATGCAAGATATGTAAAAGGACTTTACAGAGAGAAAACTCTCTGTATAATAAATTAGTTGATTAATTATGTATGTTCCTATTTGAAAAATAAAGTTAACACTATTATTAAATATAAAGGATGAACATAAAAAAATATTTTATATTAGATATATATATATATATATATATGTAACAAAAGCCAAAAAAAAGTTATTATTTAAGAAAAATCTAATAGTTAGCATTAAAAGAATTGTTCCGTGTACATAGCATATCCATATATTATAAGAGTCTAATCAAATTTTTTTTAATAGAACCATACATTTTCACTACTTTACAAAATAGAAAATTATGCAATTTAGAAAATAATTGGTCTAACAACTTTTGAACCAGTAATTTGGAAGTTATTAGCATTTTATAGTGAACCTTGTTTTATAGTGAATTTTATAGAGATCTAAGTGTTCTTATTTTTATCAATATTTATTTTTCGCATTTAAAGATGGTACTAAAAACTCATCTAGGTTATATTTCGGTAAAACTATACAGTAATACTTGTATATACCCATCAGTTAGTTAAATTTAAAAAAATTGGCAATAATCTCCTTTTATTTCAATGTATGTTGAAACAATAGGCTACCCAATAACTTAAAAGTTATTACCATTATTATACTTAGGCATAAAAAATATCTAATGTTAATATAATTAATTTCCAGTCTATAATTAAAAATGTTGATAATTTCCTAAATATTGATTCAAAAGTTGTTATTGATCAGTCATTTTCTTAATTAGAAAATTTTTTTTATTGTATGCTAGGTAAAATTGTATGTTTAAAAAAATATAAAGAAATAGAGCTGGACCTAAAAAATATTTGATGATTGATGAAGACGTATACAAAACTAAAAAAAGTCAAACAATATTCCCGAAATTATTTGTATTTTGTGAATTATTGAATGGGTTACGATAAAGTAATCACCTATATCTTATATTTAACTGAATATTATCAATATACATTTTTATTAGAATCGAATATACCAAAAGATTCATCAAATATGTATGAAAAATGTCTAAAACAATATAAACAATTGTTTTTGTATATTTATATCATGTTATAATAATATTATAAGAAAATTAGCTGCTATTTTATCAGGATGAAATAGCAACTGATTTGACTTAAAGCCTTGTGTCACCTGAAAGTTTCAACAGTGTCACTCACTTTACCTTCATAATGAGGTAGCATTAGGTCGGCATCTAGTGTAAAAATTCTGTTAAATCATTTTAAAGTAGAGCCGATCCCAAATATTTGGGTAGATGCTAAAAGGAGATAACAATTAAAATGTAGACGTGATGTGAGAAATCGCTCTTGCGTGGACCTTAGTTATTCATGTGTATTGTTATTTTTTACTATTATTTTGATAGTTGAATGGACAAATGTTGTTATTATAGTTATAGTTAGTATTTTAATGCATTATAATGCAATAAAATGTCATTATAGTAATTTGAATTTACTGTTATAAAAGTGTTAGTATAAAAAAAATGATAGTGGACTCGGCAAGAAGGGGTCATCTAATTATATATTGATAATTTATTTTAGCTTCGATACGAGGTTAAATATAGTAACTCATTTCAATTAAACCATTTAAATAGTTAACAATTAAAAATAATATTGAGAATTTTTTTTAGTTTCTATTAAATACGTTTTTTTAAAAAATAATTAATTATAAGATATATAATCCTATATATATATATATTATATATTCATTCCTTATATTTAATAGATTTCAAAATGTATAGTTAATATTTATAAATTGTTTAATATGACTGTAATACTTAAAATACTTATAATGAAAATATAACTAGTAAGTAGTGATTTTAACCACATAGTTATAAAATTCAACAAACCTTGCACACAACGCAAATATAGCACCTCCTAAAACAACGCATTTAAGAACAGGTAAATCCAAATTGTTATACAGTGTTGGTAATGGTGCATCGGGATCCTATATAAAATAAATTTATCAAAAATTTATTGGTAATTAATATAATATAATTACTTGATCGTAGTAAGGCCACATTAATGTGAGCACTGTAGCTACACCACAATATGCTAATGTAATGATAACAAGCGTAGTAACAATTGCTATAGGTATATCCTTCTTCGGGTTTCTCGTTTCCTCTCCTAAAAAGTTTTATATTTTATGACATCAAATTGAAGTAACTATTTGGCTTGATGTCTATTAGCAAAAAAGTTTTTATAAATATAACTTTATTTGAATTGTCAAGTTATACTCAAAAGAAAGTAAAAGATTTTCATAAATAAATAATATTTATGAGATAGTAATGAAAAGATCTAGTTACTAGGCTAATATTTAGCCAAAGTTTAATTTTTCTTAAAGGAATTATTTAATTTCAAGTAAAATAAATAACATATATTACAAACAAGTTCATATTAGGCATTTTATGTTAACTTTTCAAGATAGCTTGAGTACTGAAAATACAATTTTTTTTATGAATATACAAAAAATGAGAGTATCATAATAAAAATTTTCTTTTTGAACTTAAACATATTTAGTACTGTATGAAAAATTACCCCGCAGTTAATTACTATTATAATATTGTAATAATACAATATCGATATCGAAATTATACTACAAGAATTACTGATTTCAATATTATATTGTAATTTTATAACAGTTGTCAATCATCAATTATAATTAAGTTTACCAGTTGTTGCAATACAGTCGAAACCTATAAATGCAGCAAAACATTTAGCAGCACCAGCAGCTACGCCAGCCCAGCCAAATGGTAAAAATCCACCTTCGCCTCCCTTAACACCGATCGGAATTTGAGTTTTGCTTATTGACCAATTAGAGTAATTTGCTAGAATTAATGAATATATATTGTAAATTTATGATATAATTTTTTATAAATGTGAAAACTTTACCATTGAAGAATCCAGAAACAATGACTAGGCATATCGTTAGTAAATTTACAATAGTAAAAATATTATTAACTAGCGAAGATTCACGAACACCCCATGCCACTAGCACTAGAATGAAAAAACTGTTGTTTTAATAAAAGCAGTAATTTAGTTTCAATAAAAACTAAATACCTAATCATAATTTAAACTAGGAATTTTTTTACTATTCGGGTCCTAGTAATTTGTAATGCTATTGTTAAATTGTTAAAATATAGTTATAGGTTTGGTTTACGACCAACCTGTATATCATAGTTGTATATTGAAGATTTAATATAGTAAGTAAATATTATTCCAATGCATATTTTCCAAAAGACAAACCATGCGAAGAAATAAAGAAATAAAAGAATTAATAATAAAAGAAAAGACATTAAAGAAATGTGACAAACTTTTATTGAAGTTATTGATGAAAAAATTTCAGATTTTTATAGTTTTGAATCGATGTTTATCCTAAGATATTTCCCATCCCTAGACAAAATTGTATAGAATTTAATATAATATAGAGGGTCTATAGATTCGCTACAGTATGCATTTATCTATACTTTTTAATTATTTATAATGTATCCTTACTTGTAGTAATAAATATAATAAAAAATGATATAAAATCTGGATATTCAGATAAAAAGCTTATGTTTATTGGCATAAATTCTAACATGAAAATTTTGTATGGATTTCCAAGTAAAGTGTCAACATAATTACTCATCGCTTTAGCCACAGCAGCAACGGCTGAAATAAAATAAAAATTTTAATGAAGTTTTTTAAAAAATACAAAATAATAAATAAAATTAGTAATAAAACGGATTAATATAGTTATATTTTTAAGCATTGAAATAATTTCATCATTGTTTAATTGAAAATGCATTTTATTTATTATACGCAGGATATTATACACTATTATAAATATAAGAAGTAAAAGTCATTTTTTACTAATGAATATAATACTTTACCTATAAGGTGTTCACTAAGTAAATTCCAACCAATTACAAATGCAGTAAATTCACCAACTGTCACATAGCTATAAATATAAGCAGATCCAGCTTTTGGGACACGACCAGCAAACTCAGCATAACATAATCCTAAATAAAAATTAATAACTTTTTAGAAACATTTTTACTTAAATTTAACTAAATTTAGTTTACATTTTTATTCAATACTAAAATATATAAAAAATATTTAACTCAAAAGCTATAAAAATTATTAAAAAAAAATTGTGAATACGTATTTTGGGGAAAGTGTTACTATTATTAACGCTGAAAACATACTGACATGCCGACCTAAAAATACTTCCTTATAAACCCTTGTTCTTTATCAATTAGTGATGTTATCACTACTTGCTGTTATCATATAGTCATTGTTACATTTTACTCTAGTTTCATAATGAATTATTTAGTGGTCCAAAATCCCAATTAATTAAATTATTCTCATTTTTAAATTTTACTATTGCTTCCCTTATAATTAGTTTTTTCTAACTATTTACGTTCTTTATAAATATATATTTTATTAATCGAAATAATCGATTAAAAGCTGCTATTTTGGGTGGCCAACAATGGTTCAAATTGTTCTGAATATACTCGAACGTGAGTGTGTTTTTTCGAAATTATTTAGTCTTTCCCTATTTTTTTAATTAATACAAAAATTCATAAATTTTCCATCTACTTTCTGTACGTGAGTTTGATTGATGGATAAAATGAATTTAAATGTTGTATGAAAACCTCCATATTAAAATCTTTGTTTATTACTACAAAAATATCATCTACATACCTAACCCAAATTTTTGGAAAACCGCCATAAGTGTTTTTTTAAAATAAATATGGTGATAGCGGATTTCCTATTGCTGTGCCCTCAATTTGTTCATAAAATTTATTTTGAAACTGAAAAAAATTTTGACCCATGCATAAATTTTTTTATTAATCAAATTGTGCTTTGCGTTTACCAGAAAAAGCAGAAACAACGGCAGCTATAATAAAGGATAAAACAACAGCTGGACCTGCTACTGATTTTGTTACAGAACCAGCTAATACATATACACCACATCCTAACGTAGAACCTATACCAAGAGCAGTTAAATCAACAAAATTCAAAGCTCGTTTAAGTTTTTCAGTGCTTGGTTCATCAGTGTCAGTCTTTTTCCTCGTTAAAGCTTGTTTTAAAGTTGTACTCTAAAATAACAAAAAAATATGTAAAAATAAAAATGTATTAAATGACGTTATAAAAACGTTTAATAACATTATTAAACGTTATGAAACATGAAAAAATACAATGATTAAGAAAGTGTGGAGGTAATAGTCATATTTTATGAAGCGGTATATTTAAGTTACACATGGAGGTCAGGATCTCATTGGCCTCCCCTGGCTTTGCCATTACTCATTAATTATATATTAAATTAAAGAAAAAATTGGAAATTTTTAAGTTATAAATAAACAATTTTTATTGAAATTTTACAGATTCACATCGAAGCGTTTTATTAATGTGATGTTAATCGCCGTCAAATATCATTTATACTTGCTGCATCCAATGTGTGTTAGAGTTTTTTATTATTGGGAATTTTTTATCCCCACTACTGAATTAACTCATTTTAACTTTTAACGGTAGAGTGTGTGGACTTTTTCTTTGTATATAATTTAACGTTGTTTATAATATGTATATGTATGTGTGTTATTTTCGTGAATATTAATAAACCCACTACTTGTACATTCATAAATCGTGATAATTTTTTATTATTTCAAATGAAGATAAAACACAAAAATGTTCATTTGTCTTGTTACAAAATTATATAAGAATTTAGATACAAATTACTTAAGAAATTCATTCAGTTTGTATCTAAATAAATTTTTCATAACAATTTCATGAATTAACACTATCGATTGATTTTTAAAAATTAAATTTCGTGATTAAATGCATAGTAGTAAAATAATTTAAGCTTTTCTGATATATTTAAACATTTTACCAAAAAGGAATAGTTTAAAATTATCCCATGGATTTGTTTTGATTACAATATAGTGCTCTATTTTAAAAGAAATACAGAGTGAGCACTTATATCTATGGAATCTAAGGAAAAAGTCAACATTAATGATTATTTGAAATTAAATAAACAAGTTGAATTTTTTATTAGTTTTTAATTTCATAACATGAAAAATCATTTTAATTCAATAAAAAAAACTAATCTAAGAAAAATTAGTTAGGATTAAGATTCACCATAATATAATCATATAAAATAGACTGAATTGTTATGCCATTAGTATTATTTTTTACAAAATTAATAATAATTAAAATAATTTAAGAGTATATTATAATTCTAAATCTATACTCAGTCAATTAATAAAAAATTAGTTATTGGAATTTCAATACATTTTTAAAATAAAAATAAAGGTAATTATAATATTTACCCATTGAAAATATTGATTCCTCATAATATTGTATGATCTTAATGAAACCTGTTGCTGAATTACAATTGAGATGAAACTAAGTACTCAACTTAAAATATTTTTAACAAAAATGCACTAGAATTAAACAAAAGTTAATTTTCAAAAATGTTATTTCAATACATGTACTAATTGCATTTGTCAACTTCGTTGTATTATTGATTCTTCAAAAATAAATCACCACCATCGTTTAAGGTTGCAACACCTTAAAATTTCCCACCTTTTACTGTCAGCACAAGCGTTTACTGTCGCCCAAGTCATTATACTAATTCTAGTATTAGTACAATACAATTTACAAAGTGCACGCACAATTTTCTATTATTATTGTATGTTTATTATATGTTTCAAGCTTTATTTTTTTTTCAAGAGCAAGGTTATTATACAAGGTGATTTTTTTAATGCAAGCTACTTAATTTCTCTTAAAATAGTAATTGTGTTAGGAATATAATTTTTGAAATTTTTTAGTTCAAAACAATTGAGATTTAGACCCATTATTTCAAATTTTATTATCATATTAAAATATAGACTGGAGGTGAGATTCCGTTATTACAATATTTATCTTAACACGTTACTTGGCCACATCTATCCTACCACTTAGATATAAAAATGTTAATAACTTTCGAAGAATTGGTTCAAATGTTTTTATCGTACAGTCATTTTTTAAGTTAAATCATTTTTTTATTGTAATCTAGTTAAATTTGTATATTACAATTTAAAAAGGAAACTAAACGCCATTATAAGGTATTCGTTATAAATTCAAAAAAATATTTTATATTTGATAAATAAAAAATAAAAAATAATTTTCTTAACACATTTATTTTATTAAGAGAAATCAAGTGACTAGCATTAATGAATCACCCTGTATTAAAAAACACTAATTTTTCTTAGTTTTGCTAATGATGCTTAGTAGATTCGGGATACTAATCACCTATACACATTTTATCACTTATTTTACTAATACTATAGGTCTTACTGTTACATATTAAATACTGTTTTTATAGAAAACTAATAATTAGGATTATACAATTTCATAAAACGCATATAGCGGATATTTTGAAGAAATATCCACTATATGTATTAAAAGCTCAATAGGTACTTGCTTTAAAATTGTTATTGACCCATCTATCACCCAGTCTAATGTACTTTGCAAAATAAATTTGGAAAATTATAAAAAAATTAAATATTATTAGCAAATATGAAATTTTTAAAATCGTTTTAAAAGAACTAAAAATTATCTTTTATACCATTTAATTGCTTGAATCATTCAAAACTTAAATCTTTGTTGATAATTTCAATTGTATTAGATCACCGTTAATTGAATTACCTATAAATATAGCGTTAATATTTCATCAAAATCTAGTGTATGTGAATTTTTAATTTCTTGGATTTTCTGCTTATATAGCTTTAAATATTAGTTTTAGTCGAAAATCAAAAGGACATTTCTTTTAAATAATCATATTTTGTAATTTTTTGTTCATAAATATTTCGTATTTTTTAATATTTAAAAAGGTCTTCTTCTATCCCAAGTATTTGGGGTCGGCCAACCTTATCCTAAACTTCCACTTGACACGGGAGATCGTGTCTCGTTATCTACGCACACATTAACAATTTTCATATCGCATTAAATAACACCTCTTTTTTCATTTGAACTGACGAGATTGAAGATTTATACCACCGATTTTGAACTTACAACACACCTGGATTGTCGGATGGAATCAAATCTAGCGCGCCAAAATTCAACATATGAAATTATGTTAAATCATAAATAGTTTAATATTAATTTAAGCTTATAACATGTTATTGAACTTGAATTTTATATATCTATACGTTATTAAGGGTTCAAGTCATTTGTGTTATCGTATTTATACGATCTATAATAATACTACGCTATAAATATTGTACAAATTATTAGTTATCAAGCACTTTCTTTGTTATAGCATTGTTATTTGTGTGTACACCCATCTATTATAATTTATTTTTACAGCTTTTATTTAAAACAAATTTAAACGATATGGAAGTTGATGATGTTGCAGATTATGTGTTCTAAATATAACAATCCATGAAAGTTTTAACACATTCATAACGATTGAATGAATTTTTGAAAATAAGTAGTATCAAAGTCGATTTAAAAAAAACAGCATTGTAAAGCAATATGGAATAAGACATACAAACTATTGAGAAATTTGTGTACGCCAACATTGCCTGATGAGGATTATAAAACATGTGATCTATTAAAGAAATATTTTTCTCCGAAAACTAATAATTTTTGGCAAAAGAATTAGCTTTACTCTGCATAGCAGGAGGACACAGAGTTAGTTTCAAATTGTTTGGCTAGAATTAAACAGTTATCTAATAATTGCAAAATTGAAGAATTATTAGATGACATTCTTTCGTACAAGTATGTATTTGAGTTAAAATAAGACAGAGTCAAAGACCATGTTTGCGAAGTGGAACCGAATGAAGAAACAACTGTTTCTAAACTGGTTTAAATCGCTGCGTGCCAAAGAAAGTGATGTACTGAAAGATCGCAACAGCATCAATTTGGTATATAATCAATAGCAAAATTTTGTAACCAGAACGGGTAACAAAACATATTCACATGCGGAGTTGAAGTATTCAGGCAAATTGAGTGGCAGTGCAAAGAGGTCACTCAATAAAGGTTACCAACAATGTCAATCACGACCAGGGTCATCAAACGGTAGTATTCCATGCAAGACTCGTGGAATACCTTACACGAGTATTCAAAGTTGAAAATATAAAGATTATAAGTTTAGACTGTGTAACAAAGGTTGATAATTTACAAATAGTATATCACAATAATAATAGTAATAAAAATAATTTTTCTTAGCATTATTCAAACAATGATTTTGGCAATTTAAACTGTGAATCTGTAATTTTTAATATTAATAGTGATTAATCTTGAGGTTATTGTTAAAAAGTGTGTATTACAACAAAAGTAGATACTGGTTCAGACATAACCGTTATGCCAGACAAATAATTTTTGTTGAATTTTTCTAAGCTCTTTAAATAGTTAAATCCAACATTAAAATAATGGGTTATACTGGTGAAGTTATAAAATTATTAGGTTATTTAGTAATATAAGTAAAAAAACCCAGCACAGGGGGGTCGCGGCACAGTGGTGACGTGGCATAGTTGGATCAAGTATAATGATATCTGACAGTGATTAAAATCACTATAAAAAAAAACGCTTCGATGCAAATCTTTAGATAGTGTTTAATTTTAAAAAATTAGTGGATTATTCCAAAAGCTTCATAAACTGCTAGATCCTTATTAATATCCTGATTAAGATAAAGTATGTCGAATGAAAAAGGGATTATTAAAAAATAGTATTTCCCATAAAAAAATTATATTGATCAATACACTTTTCAATAAGTTATAGCATTATAAAGTTAAAAATGTAAAAAATAAAATTGAGAATTTTCACACAATAATAGCATTTGGTAGCCATTTTCACCGTGAAGACAAAATAAAGTCCGAAATTTTTTTTTTCCATAATAAAGTAGATTACATTAGCTTTAATTTAAGATATATATAAAAGTGTCAGACCTTCCGGAACACTTTCAAAAGTTACGTTGAAAAAGTTCTACTTTCTATATGCATTTTTATGTTTTGAATCCCCCCTGTATTTAGGGAAATGGTCCGATTTAAAAAAACAGTATGTCGAATGAAAGATGTATATAAATACTACTTCTAATGAAAAAATTGTATTGATCCATACATTTTTCAAAAAGTTATAGCATAATAAAGTTAAAAATGGAAAATACAAAATCGAAAATTTTCACACAAAAATAGCATTCGGTAGCCATTTTCACCATGAAGATAAGATAAAGTCCGAAATTTTTTTTTTTCATGATAAAGCATATTACATTAGCTTTAATTTAAGATATATATAAAAGTGTCAGACCTTCCGGAACATTTTCAAAATTTAAGTTAAAAAAATTAATTTTTTGTGAAAAAGTTGTCATTTTAAATCCCCCCTTGTGGGCAGGTTAAGGGTTAAATTTATGAAAAAAATATACCAAATGAAAGGTAATGATATTATGCATCTATATAAAAAAGAATTATATTGATATGTTCATTTTTGAAAAAGTTATGGCACTTTTAAGTAAAAAAAATTGAAAAAATTTCGAAAATTAGCGATTTTTAAATTTGTAATTTTTTTGGAGGTTTCCCCCATTTACGGGGAACGAGGGAATTTTTTTCAATTTTTAAGGGTAATGTCTTTGACTAGATACGATTTGTGATCTTTTGACGTATCATTGAAAGAAATCGGTTCGTTGAGAGCTGAGAAAAAGTGGTAACAGACACAAAAAAAATAAACACATCTTAGTAAAACCAATACCTTCTCAGCTTCGCATCGAAGCTAATATGAAAATGAATTATGTAATAATCTTTAGTTTATTTTTATTGAAAAATGCGCATTATTTCTGTTAAGTAACGACTTTTTATAAGATATTATTTTAAATTTAGATATTGTTTATGGGGTAAAGATAGTTTTCAAAACTTAAAGTGAATAATTTATGAACTCTTAATATTGTCAAGGTAAAATTGATAACTATAAATAGTGAAACATATAAAAATTGTTTTGTATTTTAAAATAAAAATAAAATAAAACAAATATTTTTTTTTTAAGTATTAAAAGTACATTTTACGAAAAACAATTAAAAAGTACACGTAAGTATACGAGTAATTTTTAAACGTGTATACTATACTGTGTATATAGTATAGATCATAAAATAACAATTTGTTTAACACAAAACCTTATACATAACGTTAGTTTAGAAAGATATAATAAAAATTATGTATTTTTTAATTTTATATATAATAGATTATTTATTGTTTTATATACAATATATATGCAGTATACAGCATATAATATCAACTAAAAAAATCAATTGATATGTTAAATAATTAGATGATTGTAACGTTCTTGGTCTCAAATACCTGTTATGCCATACAAAAAAGATAATTATTTTTACAATTGAAATTTAATATTGCGTGGCTATTAATTCACTAAAAGAAAAGCCATTTTCAATAACAATGTCAAAACTCACCAATGAGTAAAAATAGTTCAATTTCGTTTAAATCTAGTTAAAATATAAAATATAAATTAAAGATATATTGAAAATTCTATTATAATATTATATCATTGCACTTTAAAAAGTTATTCCATAAGTACTCATATGTGGTTTCTCACGTAAGTAAAATTTGATATATGTTCGTGAACGCACGGATAAAATGACTTTGTGTTTTCTATTAGTCCACTTGTATCTACATGAAAACTATAAAAAAAAATTCTAGTATTACATTTCTACCTCTAATTAAAAATAATAGCGTGATTACTCTGATAGAAAGAGACAGTTAAACTGCACCTAGGTTATTTTAAAATTACTTCCTCTTAATGGTTGCTGATATACAATTTAAGGTTAATGGTCTGTTTATATGAACCATTATTTCCTAAGCAAAAGATCTACTATACATTATTAGCCTTAACTGTTCAAACGCATCAAAAGACACTTTTCCATTCTCTTGTAACAATTTTGTCGATAAGAGTAAACTAACTATAAAATTATAAATAAAAAATTATATTGTTACAAAACAAATAAATTTCAATATATACAATAATCACTTCTAATCATCGTAAGTTAAAAATTAAAATTTCATAATTTATAAAGAATTAAAAAACTGGAATTTTCATTGACTTATTCACATAAAAAATACATTTATTTACAATTTGCTGACTTCATTTTCTTCTTTTTTTTCAGACGATTCGAGGCTATGTTTAAATCCATATAGCCAGTAGATAAGTAATCCTACAATTTTACAATATTTAAATATCAATATTTTATTTGACTTATAGAATATTTTATAATATTTCATAGTATAAATCATTTACACAAGTTTCTTATTTATGTAATCACAATTAATTGAACATTTACAAGATAATTAATTAAACACTTATAAATGATTTTTAAATCACTATAAGACACCCAATTTAAACAAAAATTATCATAAGTATAAACAGTACTACAGGAATATTTTTTATTCTAGTGAGAAGTAATCTCTCTACATCCCCAACTAAATTTCTAATAAATATAAACTTTTCCGTGTTAAATAAATATCCCCGGAAAGCTAAAATAAACTTTATAAATGTATTAAGTTCAGAGCCCTGATTATAATCAATACTGTATTAATAAGGTTTGAACATTTTAGTTTGATAAAAGGCGCCATTTTATTTTAGCTGAAATTATCAAAAACTTACCCAAAGAGTATATACAAATATTTATTAAATAACTATGGATATACATATATATATATACACACTCTGTATATATGCTGGGCCACTCTGGCCCAGCATCACTGACAACATAAATAACTTTAGATCCAGTTAATATTTTTTTCTAATTGGTTTTTTTAATATATAACATACTTTAGGTCTATAATTATAATGTAATTAATATCATTTTTATAATCAAATAAAAAAATTATAATTTTAAAAATTTAGGAGAACTGTTAAAAAAAAATCCAAAAAAGTTATTTTTTAGAATAAATTTTAAGAAATAATTTGATAAAAAAAATTTTTATTAATGTTTTATAGTTAATTTTCTGTAACATTTTAAATTTGGTAATTTCAAATTTTTCTGTATTTATTCTACGGTATCAAACGCTTGCTATGTTTTATAAAAAAAAGACAGAAGTAAACACAATCTTTTCACATTAAATATGATATGTGTATAGTTTTTTTTATGAAAATTGTTATGGTTCTAATGACTTGCTTTAGATTCAAATAACAATACGAATAATACCTATTACTTATTAGGTAATTTTATCTCTTTAGAGATAAAACTACTTATTCTAATTAAAATTAAAATTTATAAATCAAGAGATTTATATTATACTAAGTATAAGGTCTATTATAGTTATAAAGTTGGTATTAACACGATGATGAGAAATTTGATAAGGCAATCATTACTTACCTCTCTCATTTAAAAGTATAAGTAATTTTCATGGAAAAAGTTACACACCTCCAAACTATAGTAATCATGAAAAGATACTGTTTTCTTCTGTCCTTTTCTCAAAACGTATTTCAATGTTTAATATCGTAAAATAATATATGAAAATTCAAATTTTCATAAACTTTAAAATGCTACAGAATATTTACTACTGAATATTAATAAGATATTTTTTTATCAAAATTTTTCTTAAAATTTACTCTACAAAATAGCTATCTTAGATTTTTTTTTACATTTTATTTAAAATTTAAAAATAATCAATATTTTTAATAAAATGCAAAAAAATGAATTATTGAAATATAATTATAGATCTAACGTAAAACTATTATTTAAAAAAACAAAATCAGCACAAAATATTAACTGAATCAAAAGTTATTGAAGTTGTCAGTGAGTGCTGGGCCACCTGTATATATATATATATAATTTTGGTTGCCACAAAATTCTATATATTAATTTTGATTAAGTGATAATAATACATTGGTATTATTATTATGGTAATATTCTGTGAATTGTCATTTAAATATATGAATGAATAGTTAAAATATAAATTAAAAGTTTTTTACGCAAGTGAGTGTCTACTTACCTAAAATAATCCATACAAAGAAACGTATCCATGTTTTATAATCTAATGTCATCATTAGATAAATATTCAAAAAAATACTAAAACAAGGAATAAGAGGGACACATGGCACCTAAAAAAATATATCAGTACTAAAATACAATATAATAAAATGTAAAATTTAGTATCATATATCAGTAATCCACTTATATAAAAAAAATATTTCAAAGTGATTGAATGATTTGTTCAAAACTAAACCAAAATATCTTATTATGAAAAATTCAATTTTTTTAAATTTATGAACCAGAAATAAAATCGAAGAAATTTACAAAGTTTTATAGAATAATTTTTATTAGAAATCGATTTAATATCAATTTCATTTGTTTGATGAAATATTTTATTTATGTTAAACTGAAAACTGAATTTAAACGTGTTAAAAATAGTTTGGTCCACAAAAGTATAGTTTTCATCATTAGTAATTAAATTAAATAATCATTATTACCTTAAAGTACATATTTTCATCAGCTTGAGGAAGACGATTTAAAAGGCACATGATAAAAATTAACATTACGGCTAATATAACACTAACCACAACAAAATAATTTCTTATGCTTTCATAGACATTAATACTCGTTAATGAACTAGATAAACAAAATGCAGCAAAGACTAAATAGAACACAATTTTTGATCTTTTACAATACATAAATCAGTTAAAACTTAAAAATATAATTAAATTCTCTGTGAAAATAACGTTCAAAGTAACAATTTTTCGAAATAAAATTCAGGTTTCATGCGAAACTAAGAAAGTATTGGTTATGTAATATTTTTTTTTTTGTATTTATATGTCAATGAAATGCTCACCCCTCACTGGACTGATTTTAATCTAGTTCGACCTGTCGTCACAAAAAGTTTAGCTAAATATATCAAAATTATGGTATAGTAAAAAACCCAGTACAGGAGAGTCGCGGCACAGTGGTGACGTGGCATAGTTGGATCAAGTATAATGATATCTGACAGTGATTAAAATAACTATCAAAACAACGCTTCGATACAAATCTTTAGATACTGTTTAATTTAAAAAAAATGTTGGTTTATTCCAAAAGTTACATGATCTGATATTTCCTTATTAATATCCTAATTAAGATAAAGTATGTCGAATTAAAAAAGGATATAAATATTATTTCTTATAAAAATATTGTTTTGATCCATAAACTTTTCAACAAGTTATAGTATTATAAAGTTAAAAATTAAAAAAATAAAATCAAGAATTTTCACACAAAAATAGCATTCGGTAGCCATTTTCACCGTGAAGACAAAATAAGGTTTGGGTTTCAAAATTTTTTTTTTTAATATTAAAGTATATTACATAAACTTTAATTTAAGATATATATAAAAGTGTCAGTATTTCCGGAACACTTTCAAAAATTAAGTTGAAAAAGTTCTACTTTCTCTATGCATTTTTATGTTTTGAACCCCCCCTGTATGGTCCAATTTATAAAACAAGTATGTCGAATTAAAGAAGTATATAAATATTATTTCTCATAAAAAAATTGTATTCATCCATACATTTTTCAAATATTTATAGCGTTATAAAGTTAAAAATACAAAAAAGAATTTTTTTACAAAAATCGTATTTTTTTTATTAACTTTGACGACTGTTTTTACCATAAAAACAAAATAAAGTCCGAAATTTTTTTTTTCATAATAAAGTATATTACATTTGCTTTAATTTAAAATATATATAAAAGTATCAGTATTTCCGGAACACTTCAAAAAGTTAATTTTTTGTGAAAAGTTGTCATTTTATATCCCCCCCTGTGAGCTGGTATAGGGTTAAATTTATAAAAAAAATATACCAAATGATAGGTAAAGACATCAAGCATCTATAAAAAAAAAAAAATTATATTGATTTGTTAATTTTTGATAAAGTTATGGCAGTTTTAAGTAAAAAAAATTAAAAATTTTGAAAATTAGCGATTTTTAAATTTGTAATTTTTTTTGGAGGTTTCCCCCATTTACGGGGAACAAGGGAAATTTTTTAAATTTTTGAGAGTAATGTCTTCGATTAGATACGATTTGTGATCTTTTGACGTATCATTGAAAGAAATCTATTCAGTGAGAGCTGAGAAATAGTGGTAACAGACACAAAAAAACACATCATAGTAAAATTAATACTTTCTCAGCTTCGCATCGAAGCTAAAATGACAATTTTCAAATTTATTTTTTGTATTTTAAACTGTTATAACTATTTTTTGAAGCTTAGATTCTAATGAAATTTTAAAAGAGTAAATCAAAGATAATGAAATTTTTTTGGATATACTTTTTGTCATAATCAAATAACCTATGTATAAGAGCATAAAAGAGACCATCCGCGTGTAAAATTTGTTTTTTCATACTAACTTTAAAAATGTTCCGGTTGGTCAAAAACTGCTAATCTATATGAAATTAAAGATTTTGAAATACACCACAATACCAAAACGTAAAATTTTTTTATTATCTCTCTATTGTTTTACTATGAGATATTGGCCGTCAAAGTTAAAATATTCGTAATTTGAAAAAAAATTATTTGGTTTTCATTAAACAAATAATTTAACCGGAATTTAATATTTTAGTGAAATTTTAAATCATTATAAAATTACAAATATTGAAATTATTGTGAAATTGCACTCTCACTGAAGCGTTTATTATAATAGTAAAGGCGAATCACTGTCATATATAGCTATGTTTATCTAAATTGTTCCGAAACCCCCTGTGCTTGGTTTTTTATTTGTGAAATAGTGTTGTACAGAAAAATCGTAGTATATATTTAAAATAAAAAAACGATTCCATCACTAAAAAAATTATGTAAATACGGAACTCAACGATCAATCAAATAAGAGTATACATTGTTATATGTATTGTTTATTTTGATTGTTATAAAATTTACAAATTGTTACTTAGCACGTTATTCTCGCCTAATTTTCAATTTTTTAATAAAAAAAAAACATGAATAAGAATTTTTTCTCAAATAAAATCAAAGAAATTATTTTCAATAATTACAATTAAAATAAAATAATTTAAAATATACGTACCATAAACCAATATATACACTCTAGAAACAGCTTGAGTATCTGAATTAGGAGTTTTTATGCCTAACAAATTGCACCATTTTATGAGAATACGGTAAATTATACTTCCATTACTATTGTTTAGGTCTATTGTATTTTTCATTTTATTATTGGCTTTGTATCTGAGGGGAAATATCAGCCATATTAATAGTTATTTTGTAGAAAACAAAACTTTTTTCTTTTAAACTTTGTAATATACGTTTACATTTTACTGTTTTATACATCCTCTTAAATAAGTAACTCTCACATGTTAAAACTCGGTAATATAAAATAGAACCTTGGCAACTATGTACCGATACACGGCCGTGCTAGTAGGCTATCATGATTAATATTACATAAATATAACTATTATGATTTACATTGTAATGTAATTGAAATTCTTTTAATGACTTTTAGTTTAAGACTAATGATATAAAGGTTATAATAATGTCAAATTAAAAAAAAATTATGAATTTGGCATTAAAGCTAATCGAATAATAAATATCATTCATAGCTTAATACGTTGAATACTACAACTGTAGAGTTTTAAGATGTGTCAATTGTAAGCTAAGTGCTATTTAGATACTGAAGAATACTTTATAAAATCAATAAATAATTTTATGGTATAATTTACCTGAGCAAAAGTACACATATACAAACAATAGTATAAGCTTGGAAGGTACCAATAGAAGCCATATCAATAAGTTGCTCTAAATTGAATATAACTGCTAATGTACCTGAAAATTTGTTTATTTTCTTAATACGTACTTAATTAAACAGCATATTACTATGTACCTGATATTAAGCCACAAATTACGGAAGATATAAATGGAGTTTTAGTAGTGTTGTTGATGTTTGATAAAATTTGAAACAGGAGACCATCACAAGACATTGCATATAAAATTCTTGGCAATGGAAATATAGCACCTATCAAACTATTTTTAATCATTGTAATATATTTATGTAAAAAATAAATAATTTGATATAAATAAAAAATTATTATTTTTTAGTTCTCACGTAGTTGTCAAGGCAAATATTGCTCCTCCGGAAATTATGTACTTAATAAAAGACATCCCCAAATTGTCATAAATAACTGGCAATGGCGCATTAGAATCCTCAAAAAAAGAAATCTATTAGCAAAATTTGTTTTCAATCTATTTTTTTTTCAGGTTTAAACAATACTTGATCATAATACGGCCACATCATTGTCATTACGATAGCTATGGATACATAAACTGAAGTAATACAAATAAGGGAAATAATAAGTGCTAAAGGAATATTTCTTTTTGGGTTTTTCGTTTCGTCACCTTAAAATAATAAATATAAATGATTATTATTGTAGTTTACAGTAAGTAATTATTATCTTACCAGTAGACGCTATAGAATCAAAACCTATAAAACCATAAAAACATTTGGCAGCCCCTGCAATCACTCCAGACCAACCAAAAGGTAGGAATCCGCCTTCGCCTCCATTGACCCCGGAAGGTATATCACTTTTTTTAATAGTCCAATTAGATATACGGGCTAAAAATTATTTTTTTATGATAATGACTTAAATTATTTTGATAGGAATTACTAATTGTTTATTTTACCAAAATAACATCCAGTAAGTACAACTGTAAGAATAGTAAGCAAATTTAATAATGTCAAAATATTATTGACCCGAGAAGACTCTCTGACGCCCCACGCAACTAACACTGTAATAAATTATTTAAATTAATAAAATATAATTAATTAAGGTATTATTATTAAAAAAAAACAGCATTGTCTAATAAAAGAGAAATAAGCCTAAAGCTATAATACTCTAGTGAAATAATAAATTAAATTGCTTTATTCATAACTTTAAAGTATTAAAACATACTTCTCAATCTACATAAATTATAAACAAATAATTTTCATTTACTTGTTATTAGCATAATACATAAAAATGACATTATATCTGGAAATTCTCCTAAGAATCCCACATGAATAGGAAAATGTTTAAGCATAAATTGTTTTTGTGGATATCCAAGTAATGAGTCAATATAATTACTTGTAGCTTTTCCTATAGAAGCAACTCCTAAAATAGAACGTGTGGTTTTATGAGTAATTAAAACAGTAATATACAAACGTATAGTTATTACAGTAATTTATTATTAATGTAAGTATAGTAATACATTTTGGAGATACAAATTTGCAGTAGCATTACAGTATAAACTCTCACCAATGATATGCTCTATAATTAAATTCCAACCAATTATAAATGCGGGAAATTCTCCTATTGCAACATACGTATAAATGTATGCAGAACCGGCTTTAGGAATACGTCCGGCAAATTCGGCGTAACATAAACCTTAAAACAAAACAAAGACTCATTATTTGCTATTATTAGCAAAACACTAAAATAAGTATAATATGCACATTTAGTTATAACTAAAATAAATAACTTTTAACTTTTAGGAGTTTCAAAAAGATATAAACTAAATATACCTTTAATTAGTTTAATAGTATATATAAATGTAAGTATTACAATTAAAATTAATATAAAATGAAATATATTTGATAAAGACTTATTTTCAATCGATTTTGAATTAATTATTTCGAATTACTGATATAACTAATTAATAAATTATTAATAAATAATTTTTCTCAATTAAATTATAATAGTAGTTAGAACTAGTTCTTTAATAGCTACTTTTAGAAAAATAACTTAATATTATCTTAGAACATTTTAAAAAATTCAGTATTGCTGAAATTTTTAGGAAATTTCTGTTATTATAATTATTTTTATTTTATGATTGTCTTATAAAAGTAAGTGTTAAATAAATTTTATTCTGTATTATCGTTAAAGGCCAACTGTCTGGATTATTCAATTCACGAACGTAGTAAAACACTTATTATAATCATAATTATAGTTATACTCGCCATAGAAAAGAAAAAATAGATGTTTAAAAAGTAATTTATCAGACACTGTTAATAAAGATTTTATAATAAGCGATTATTCTTAATCATCAAACTGTAAAAATCATTATAATTATTTTATTATTTTTTTGTTTTGAATGACCCAGTTGCTACTTCAGATTTAATTAAACACCCTTATGATCTATATCGATTTTAATTCTAAAAATTTTTTCAGTGATCATTGATCAAGTTATTAATGAAATAGTTCCATATATTTTGTGTTTGATTATTATAAATTGTGACAATTATTTTTATCTAATTTTTTAGAAATTTTTAAATAAAAATTTTTATCCTAAAACTCTCTCAACAATATTAAATAATAATATGTGTATATAATTAAAGAAAATATTAAAAATATTAATTGTTACCTGCAAATGAGGATACGACAGCAGCTAATATAAAAGATAAAACAACAGCAGGTCCAGCAAATGTTTTTGCAACAACACCAGCCAATACGTAAACTCCAGCTCCTAAAGTTCCGCCAGTGGTCAAAAGAGTTAAATCGAATAAGTTCAAAGTTCTTATAAGCTTATTATCAGTCGATTCGTCATTTTCTTGATATTTCTTTTTCCTTGTAAAAGCTGTCTTGTAGTTATTTTTCTAAAGTATCAATTTAGTACTAATAATATTATTTTTTTGTAAAGTTGAAAACAAAAAAATTCTGTAGTATAACAATTTTGTTTGAGCTATTTTATAGAATAATGGTTTATAAATGCATTAGTACAAAAAATTATGATAAATATGATAAATTTAAAAAAATGTACAAAACGATAAAAATATTGATCTATATTTATTTTATTATTTCTTAGATAAATTCGAGTTAAAACTGTAAGTTTTGTAAGTAATTACCTTTTCATTTGTCATTTTGAAAAAAAAATTAATAGTTAAATAATATTATCTTTAACAACAAGTAATTAAAATTAAAATTAAAACAACTAAAAACACATGCAAAGATTAATATCAGTTTTTGCAGAAAAGTAAACAGTGAGACAATCATTCCTATTTGATGTATATAATGCATGTATATTATTTTGTATAAACCGGTACTGTTAGTAGGGCGTTGGTTCATAGTTTGAGTAATATTTTCCCCTCCAAAACAGTACGTCCTTGGATCTATCTTACGAAAATGTGCGTATTAGATAACTTTCTTATTATCTATAAAGTATTCTTTTTGTTTTTAATAATATTTTATTATTACTTATTTACTTAATTATTTTTAAATATAAAAATGTCTATTAATATTCCATGTAAAAATGGGATAAGAATACTTGCACGGCCAGTCGTAAGAGGCGACTAATGAGGTCAAGTCGACAGCTGATGTAAAATTTTGTCGAAAAATTTGAGGATACTACAAACCGACAGTACAAGCAGCCGAACATCTGTAAATAAACATTAAACAAGCAATAATCTGGCCACGTTTGCATCAACGGACCAACCACCAACAACAAGCTTTTACTTGAGTTACATCGTTTCAACTGGTGTCCAAATAAAAACTATTTTTTTAAAGAATATGATAGTATTCTTTAAATCACTCTATCTAATTGAGTAATACACGGGTTAAAATAAAATTTTAATGGTAATTTTAAATCTATTAATGTCTTTGAATACTTTGTTGAAAATAAGGTTTGGATGGGTATAATTAAAAATATACGTCTGCATATCAGTCATACAGATGCAAATTCTCCGTATGTCTATTATGATGAGAAATACTGGCTAAATTTTATCTACTGATTTGAATCTTAATAAAAAACAAATCAATTTACACTTAACGACCAAATCAATTGTGACTCCCCAATTTGAATTAGCAGTAAAATATAATCGTGATTTTGAATCTCTTATATATTTTTTAACAAATCTTAACGAAAATAGTTAAGATCATTCTGTTGTTATTTGTAATAGTCTGTTGTGGAAAAATTAAACATTTTATAAAAATGAAATTCAAACCATACTCCTTTATATACAAAGTATATACAAAATGATTAATTAAAAATTATGCCTCACGCAATATATTTAAAAGTAAAAAACAGATTATAATTTTTTCTCTTCAGGATAAATCCCTCCTCTTTTACCCTTAAAATGTTATCAACATTATTTTTTTAAACTTATATATATTACATGTTATATGTTGTATATGTTTAACCAACATAAAAACAAGAAAAAGAACTAATTAAATAGTTCTGGTTGTTAACAACTTTTTAACAAATATTTTTAAAGATATTAATACTTATATACTAGAGTTTATATGACTAAAAATAAAATTAAATAGATTCATGCTTCACCTACAGTTTACATTGTAATATGATCATCAGCAATCATAACTATAAAAATACTGATTCAAAAATTGTTATCGACTAGTGATTTTTTCAAAATAGATATTTTCAAGTTGGTTATATATGTGTTTTTTAGAAAAACTTAATGTGATAAAATTTTAAGTTAGGAAGAGAGGGGATATAATCAAATCAATTTCTAGAAATTGTAGAACAAATAATCATCTGAATTGAAAAGATTTTAATGTCTTTTACATTTTTAAAAATATTGCGTCAAACACAGTTAATCAATTGATTCAATCAATAACCCTGTAGTTATATTTATTTAAAAATTGTGTTATTAATTTCTTAATTGTTTTTTAGTTTTACACTTACCCATCTAAACCACCGTTAAGAAGCTTTACTTCCGTCGTTCATCAAAAATAAAGCACACAAATGTAATTTAATAATTAATATTAATTGTTTATGTGTGAATATTTGATATTGTTGGACATAAATATTTGACCTTATCTGGCCAAAAATGTAATAAAAATTTTGTAGCCAAATCTTATAACTTAAATAATTATCTAAGATAATTATTCCAAAAGAAAATCTAAGAAAAAAGTAAAGACGAAATACACTAAAGAAAACTATTAAATTAAAAAAATAATTCACAAGACAATATTTTTTAAATTTATTATTTGTACTAAGTACAAATAATATTAAAGTATGAATAATGTGTCAATAATTTTACTTCCATATTAATCGTATGCATTAATTTAAGTTAATAAAATTAAGACTGTCATGAAAATAAATAAAGTTACTCGATTTATTTGTTCCGCTAGTACAAATTATGCAATAATCGGGGATATTTGATCTCAGATTCTTCTTTTTCATTTTGCTCACCTTTATCCCAAATACTTGGGGTTGACCACCCTTATCCTAAACTACCACTTGACACGATTTATCACATAATCTACGCACACATCAGTCGTTCTCATATTACATTAAATAACGTCTCTTTTTTGACCTTCCTCTATCTCTTCGTCTTTCAACATTCATTTCCATAACTGTTCTTCCAGTTTCCGATTCCTCTCTCCTCATAACATGATCAAACCATATGTTCGTTCCTATCTTCTCAAGTTACTTCACTCATCCATCGAAGCATTCACATCTGCGCTACACTCAATCTTTTGACCGCCCAACACTCTGAATAATAGCTGATCTCACTATAGTTTTATAGAACTTACCTTTTAGTCTCATTGAAATTTTATTATCGCACAGCACACCAGCCATGTCTCTTCACTTCACCCACCCGCAAAACTATATGTTACATCCTCGTCAATATCATCGTTATTTTTCACAACTGATTTGAAATACTTAAAACTTTCCATCTCTTCTATCATGTCCTCGCTTATTGTCACTGATCTCCTCATTTCACCTATCCGGCGTTCTCCTTTATCAAACTCGTACTCTATACCTCTCCTTGTATATCTCTAATAATTTCATTCATATCTATAGAAAATAAGTAAGGGCATTAAGTAGAACCTTGGTGCACTCCTACCCTTAACACCTACTTTAAAACCTCTATCATACGCTTTCTCCAAATTTTAAAAATAGAACTTGTTTGGGTGGGGTTGAGTTACCTAACCACAACTTTTTTTGTCTATTTCCTATATTTTTCTATTAGTTGTTTTACACAAAAAACTAGCTTCATCATTAACTTTCCAGGTAAAAAGTCAAACTGGTTCTTTGTTACTGTTATTTCTCCTCTTATCCTTTTGTCTATTACCTTTTCCAAATCTCCATGTTGTGACTCATAATCTTTATGCCTCTATAATTTCCACACATCTGTATATCTTCTTTGCCTTTAAATATCGATACCACAATACTATTACTCCATTCCTTTGGCATTGCCCTTAATTATACCTCCAAATGATTATAGGAAATATTAATAACTTATAAATGTATTGTAAAGTGTATGTAACAAATTTTTAAAAAACCATTTAGTAATATGAATTTAAAAAATCCAGCACATTAGTTAGAACAAGTATAGATACAAATCTGTATATAGTGTTTAACTTTTAAATGAATATACCATCTGACCTAAAATATAAGCATAAATAATTGAAAAAAAAACCCAGCACAAAGGGGTCTCGGCACAGTGGTGACGTGGCATAGTTGGATCAAGTATAATGATATCTGACAGTGATTAAAATCACTATCAAAAATAAACGCTTCGATGCAAATCTTTAGATAGTGTTTAATTTAAAAAAAATTGGTGTTTTATTCCAAAAGCTACTTGATCTGCTGGTTCCTTATTAATATCTCGATTAAGATAAAGTATGTCGAATGAAAAAGGTTTTATTAAAAAATATTATTTCTCATAAAAAAATTGTGTGGATCCATAAACTTTTCAATAAGTTATAGCATTATAAAGTTAAATATAATATAAATAATAAAATCGAGAATTTTCACATGAAAATAGCATTCGGTAGCCATTATCGCCGTGAAGACAAGTCCAGAGGTCAAATTTTTTTTTTTCAAATTAAAGTATATTACATTAGCTTTAATTTAAGATATATATAAAAGTGTCAGACCTTCCGGAACATTTTCAAACGTTATGTTGAAAAAGTAAATTTGTTGTGAAAAAGTTGTCATTTTAAATCCCCCCCTGTGAGCCGAAAAAGGTCAAATTTACAAAAAAAATATACCAAATGATAGGTAAAGACATCAAGCATCTATATAAAAAAAATTATATTGATATGTTCATTTTTGAAAAAGTTAGAGCATTATTAAGTTAAAAATATAAAAAAAAATTATTTTACAAAAATCGTAATTTTTTATTAACTTTGATGTCAACTTTCACCACGAAGACAAGTCCAGAGGTCAAATTTTTTTTTTTCAAATTAAAGTATATTACATAAGCTTTAATTTAAGATATATATAAAAGTGTCAGACCTTCCGGAACATTTTCAAAAGTTAAGTTGAAAAAGTTCTACTTTCTATATGCATTTTTTATATTTGAAGCCCCCCCATATATAGGGAAATAGTCTGATTTAAAAAAAAAGTATATCCAATGAAAGATGTATATAAATACTACTTCTCATGAAAAAATTGTATTGATCCATACATTTTTTAAAAAGTTATAGCACTTTAAAGTAAAAAATGTAAATTATAAAATCGAAAATTTTCACACAAAAATAGCATTCGGTAGCCGTTTTCACCATGAAGACAAGTCCAGAGGTCAAATTTTTTTTTTTCAAATTAAAGTACATTACATTAGCTTTAATTTAAGATATATATAAAAGTGTCAGATCTTCCGGAACATTTTCAAAAGTTAAGTTGAAAAAGTTAATTTTTTGTGAAAAAGTTGTCATTTTAAATCCCCCCTGTGGGCCGAAAAAGGTCAAATTTACACAAAAAAAGTATACCAAATGATAGGTAAAGACATCAAGCATCTATATAAAAAAA